ATGCAGAGTAAGGATGAAAGAGAAGCAATTATGCCTCCGAGTCCTCCAAAGGTGTTTCAGTACATTCCCCCATCCCATGCAAGAAGCGGAAACCTGGATCATAATTGATTTTAAGTTGGCTCGAGGGGCACATTGTGTGAGTGTGGCACCCACATAATTGAAGGGGGATCACCACACAGGAGGCTGTCATTAATATTGGACAGCTCTTCCGGCAGGGCTCCTTTTTATGACATAATCTTTGAAAAGAGGTTTTATTATCTCTGTATGCATCTGTGTCTTTTTCCTGTGTCTACAGAAAATGGCTTCCTTTTTCTCTTGTAATGTTGTCTTGGAATGTAGTGATCAGTATGTCTGTCCATCTGACCTTCTGTCCAACCATCTGTCCAAGACCCATCCATGCATTTGACCTTCTGTCTGACCATCTGAGACCCATCCATCTGACCTTCTATCTCACTATCCATCTTATCTTGTCTTTGACCATGCATCCATCTGACCTGTCTTCTGCTCATCCATCCTGCTGATGTCTTTCGGAAATATCATATGACCATCCATCCATCTGACATCTGTCTGAACCCGTGAAAGTCTCTGGTAGAATATTAATCTTCAGTAACCCATGCTTGTTGTAAGAGGTGACTAACGGGATCGGGTGGTCAGGCTCGCTGACTTGGTTGACACATGTCATTGTATCCCAGTTGTGCAGATCGATGCCCATGCTGTTGATCACTGGATTGTCTGGTCCAGACTCGATTATTTTCAGACCGCCGCCATATAGCTAGAAAATTGCTGAGTGCGGCGTAAAACTCAACTTACTCACTCACTCACTCACTGACATCTGTCTGATCATAAATTCATCTGACATCCATCCAAAGATCATTTCTGTCTGAAATTCATGACTGCCCATCCACCTGCTAATTCATCCATCCATTAATCTTACTGCCCATCTGTGATCCATCCATCCCACTGAAAATCCATGCATAAATCCATCAATAAAATTGTCCATCAATCATGTGTCCATCTGCCCATCCATCCATCTGAGATCCATCATTCTGACCATCTATGTATCTAAGAATCATCCATCCATCTGACTTTCCATCTCAGATTATCCACATCCAAGATGTGATCCAATCTAAGATCGATAATCCCATCCATCTGCCAAGCCATCATATTTTCATTTCCAGGTATTTCTCACATCAATATCTCAAGTTGTGCCTTTGGGTGTATTTTTAATTTTTATTTCATCATGTCACAATGCTCTATAAACTTTTTATTAAGATGAATTGTGAAGCCATTACTACACAGGTATTGATTATAGGACACACGCCTTCAAGCCATTAGTTTGTATGTGCCAATCCAAAATGTCACAAAAGTGTCATAAAATTTAAAGTTTGAGAGTCTTTTCTTCTTCCAGTCAGTGAGTTAACTAATATTGGTTGAGAAAAATCTTCAAAGTAGGTTAATATCTGCTGGAAGATAACCCTTCACTTGTCACTTTGAAACACTTTTCTTTTATTGTAACTTTTCCCCGAAGCCAGTTTTTAGCTGCTGAATTATTTTGAAAAGCATCACAAAGTAAAGAGCAACTATTCATTAACCCTTTGCTACTTAGATAATTTGAAGCCAATCAGGTGAAGTACGGTGCAATTTTTTCTCCTTCACAAACCTTTCTGAATAATATTTTAACGTCAAGAAATTTATTCTTTGATATTATTTGGGTTATGAACAAATTGCAGATTCTATGGATTTAAAAATGACCTCTGCATGTTGTCATAATCATTGCCATTTCTAACAAATTATACTCTCAGAATTAGCAATTGGTGGATCTGTCAAGAGGAATGGTTGATATTTTTTGTATCAGCTTTAGATCAATTGGCAAATGACTGGTTCATCTTGATATTGGTCACTCATGAAGATCCGGGTTAGAATTGGTCTTCTGTAACCCATGCTTGTCATAAGAGGCCACTAACGGGATCAGGCTTGCTGACTTGGTTGACACATGTCATCGTATCCCAATTGCATAGATTGATGCTCATGTTCTTGATCACTGGATTGTCTGGTCCAGACTCGATTATTTACAGACCGCCACCATATTGCTGGAATATTGCTGAGTGCGGTGTAAAACTCATTGTCATTGTATTCGAAGTGTGCAGATCGATGCTCATGCTGCTGATCACAGAATTGTCTGGTCCAGACTCAACTATTTCAGATCACCTCCATATAGCTGGAACATTATTGGGTGTGGGGTTGAACAACAAAGAAGAAACCAACAATATTAGTACCCAAGTTTTCATTTTGACAATAGTTGTGTTTTGCAAGGTGACAAGAACAATTGGGACATTTGTTCTCTCTGCCGTTGTCCAACTCACAGACAAATACGTGAATAAAATGGTTGTCAAGAAGGTTCAATAAGTAATTTGTTGACATCCAATTCAATTACAGTGGAAGCCCTCTAAACCGGCATTTGTTGGGACCGGCACAAAATGCCGGTATAGAGGGCGTGCTGGTTCAGAGGGCGGTTTATGATCATAAATTAGCTTCTACCGAGCCCAAATTTTAGTGCCGATATTGAGAGAATGACGGATTGGAGGGCTGCCTTTTTAGAGGGCTTCCGCTGTACTGACAATATCAAAACTACTCTCACAAATTTAAAACATTTACTACATATCACCTCATGAAACAACAACTTGTAAAGACTCGAAAACTAAAAACATCCCCAAACTAATACCATTATCCAAATCGATTTACCCATATGAGAACTTATATTTGTTATATTATCTGATGATCACAAAAGATGAAGCAGTGCTATTATTGAAGCATGTTTCTTGCGAGATGATGTTCTATCAAACGATGAATCCAAACTGAAATTTCACAGATTGCTTTGAACCTCTTTCTAAAATTCCTGGTCTCAGCTTTGTGAGCGTCAGTGTGAGACCCTGAATTGACTGATGGTGAGATCTTTAAATTCCGTTTGACTTTATCTCCCTGCGATACGTCAGCAAAGTGAGCCAGCTTGTCCTCCTGGAAGGGTTTATGTGTTTGAAGTTTGATTATGCTGTATGGTTTGATACCCAATATTCTTTGATCCTGCTCTTGAGATATTGGAAAACGGTTGGCAGTGTTGGCCTGTAATTTGATGTCGCAGATAGAGCTTGGTTTGATGGGGGCTGTGAACATCAAATACATTTTGGAACATATGGCTGTGTTAAAGATGGTATTTCAGTATATCAGGTTTGATGTGGTAGATTATTTGGGGCATATGTGTTAAGTAATTTAGTGACTTAGGTGATACTGAATAGCAGACACAGTATGCTGTGGGTCTGCGTGAAGTCATCTTTATATAAGATCACAAACATCAATACTATGTCAATTCCTTACTGTGTACAACCTTTGTATATTCAGCAAATTAAGGAACGCATTTGAAAGCATCCAATATTGATACACTCTGCATGATAGACCCACATCATAGAAACCAACAAATGATGTATCAAATAGATGCTGGGGATATAAGAACACCTAGACCTCTGAAGGCTGTGATGACTCTATTGAACTGTTGTCATAAACATAAAAAAGATAAATCTCTGTTGAAGTATGATAAAATAGAACCCTATTACCACAGAACACTCTAGAACACAGATAACGAAGAATTCAGTTATTGTATAACTCAGATCTCAGATCTCTGATAACATACAGCTCTGTCACCATAGAATGTTCTAGAAACATGATGGCACAGGACTGTGTTGGGATAGATCTCTAAGACAAGAGAACTTTCATAATGTAGATTAGCCACGATATGGCTGAAATACTGTCGGTGTGACTTAAAATCTTAACTCACTCACTCATAATATAGAACTCTGTTGCCATAGCACCCTGACAACATACAGTTCTGCTACCAAACAGCGTTTTAGGGGTCTGAAAACCTAGAGCTCTGTTACCAAACTCTGATATCCTAGAGCTCTGTTAACAGAGAACCCTGATATCCTAGAGCTCTGTTAACAGAGAACCCTGATATCCTAGAGCTCTGTTATCAGAGAACTCTGATAATCTAGAGCTCTGTTACCAGAGAACTCTGATATCCTAGAGCTCTGTTACCATAGAACTCTGATATCCTAGAGCCCTGTTACCAGAGAACTCTGGTAACACAGATCACTCTAGAACTCTGAAACCATAGCATTCAGAGACAGACCTGTTTTACTTTCCAATGGGGATAATCTCTGAAGATGTTGCAGATACTCCTCACAGTGTGATACATTTCTTAAACTTTCGATAAAAAATGACCAATCTGTGATCCATTGAATGAGAACTGATGCTTGAAATGGGATACATTCTCATTTGCTCACTGACAATGATTTTGATTATTTTCTTTGACCATCACACAACCACCTAACTCAGAGGACAAGCATGAGGGGAGGTGAAAAGGTTTTACAAACTCACTACCTAAAGTTGTGAAACAGCTATGCCGCTAGTAGTATTGCGTATATTGATCTTTCATGAGATACCTGTGAAACAGTATTAATATTGTGATAACTGGAAGAAAGATACCCTACTGATATCATGGAGAATTCTAAAACTGAGTACAGAGCTGTAGTTCATGTCCTCACACTAGAGGGCGCCAACACAAGTACAGTCCACGAGTACAGTCCTGACCTGGAACCCAATCATTATAACCTGTTTCGAAATGTGAAGTCTCACTTGCATGGAAGACGATTTGCCAATGATGAACTCAAGGCTACAACAGAAGCTTGGTGTAGGGACCAGTCAAAAGACTTCTCCATGATATCAGTAGGGTATCTCTTCCAGTTATCACAATATTGATACTGTTTGTTTCACAGGTATCTCATGAAAGAACAATGAATGCAATAATGCTAGCAGCATAGGTGTTTCACAACTTTAGGTAGTGAGTTCGCAAAACCTTTTGACCTCCTGTCGTATGTTAACCGACAAGTGTTGACGGTTGTTCAAGCCTCGTCTTTAACAGCGCTTGATATTTTATCGTTGTGTTGCAGGTTCGAGTGTTCACATACCTAATAGGGAAGGAAGTCTCAGACAATCGACAGGTCAAGTGGATGGCTTGTGCTAATAAAGGTAATTTTAACATACACAGTAAGCCCCTGAAAATGTTTTTGAACACTGTGATATTTAAAAAAGAAAATCGAAACAAAACAAAATACATGGGGTAAGAGGATGTTGCAATTGAAACAAATTCTATGGTTTAATTGTTTGTGTTGTTTTATGTCACAGACAAAAGTTTTTCATCTGTCATACCACTGATGGTGGTGGGGATTTGGTTCAAACTGTTTGACTGATGTTTAAAAATTAAGTTGGGACATTTTTGATATTGGTTGAAGTACTACCAGAGGGTAATAATTTTCATTATTGTCATTTATTATTTCAGGTGATCATAAACACATTTCTACAAGAGCTGACGTTCAAGAGAATGTACAGGTAATATGAATGTATGTTTGATGAAATGGTGTGCCCAAAGATGACAGTTCTGTGTCATATTTTCAGGATGGATATTATCTGGCTGCACTGGTGTGAATTCTAACCGTGATGCTATAGATATCTTTGCTCTAAATGCACCGCTAATGGTGAATAGGTGTTTTGGCTTTGAACAGTATTTCAATAATGTCATGCTATATGTGTTGCAGTTTTGTGGAAATCCACTAGACCAATCCATCCTTAAACAAGTAGACCTACCCATCCTTGAACCTCTAGACCCACCAGCATTAAACCACTAGACCTACCCATTCTTGAACCTTTTGGCAACCCATACTTGAACCTCTTGACCAACCCAGCAATAAACCATTAGACCTACCTGTCCTTGAACCTCTTGGCAAAGCCCTCCTTGAAACCTCTAGACCAACCCATCCTTAAATATTTAGACCTTCCCATTCTTGAACCTCTTGGCAAACCCATCATTGGACCTCTAGACCAACCCAGCATTAAACCACTAGACATACCCATCCTTGAACCTCTAGACCAATTCAGCAATAAACCCCAAGACCTACCCTTCCTTGAACCTCTTGGCAAACAAATCCTTGAACCTGTAGACCCATCAGCATTAAACCACTAGACCTACCCATCCCTTAACCTCTAGACCAGCCCAGCATTAAACCACTAGACCTACTCATTCTTAAACCACCTGGCATACTCTTTCTAGATCTACTTTGACAAACTGCCTTCAACCACTAGGCCATCCTGCCATCATTCACTTTGCCATAAACCACTTGGCTATACTGCCATCATCCACTAGGCCATCCTGCCTTCAGCCACTTGGCCATCCTGCCTTCAACCACTTGGCCATCCTGCCTTAAACCACTTGGACATCCTGCCTTCAACCACTTGGCTATACAGCCTTCAACCACTTGGCCATCCTGCCTTCAACCACTTGGCCATCATCCACTAGGCCATCCTGCCTTCAACCACTTGGACATCCTGCCTTCAACCACTTGGCCATCCTGCCTTCAACCACTTGGCCATACTGCCTTCAACCACTTGGCTATACAGCCTTCAACCACTTGGCCATCATCCCCTAGGCCATCCTGCCTTCAACCACTTGGCCATCCTGCCTTCAACCACTTGGCCATACTGCCTTCAACCACTTGGCCATCCTGCCTTCAACCACTTGGCCATCCTGCCTTCAACCACTTGGCCATCCTGCCTTCAACCACTTGGCCATCCTGCCTTCAACCACTAGGCCATACTGCCTTCAACCACTTAGCCATCCTGCAATCACTGCCATCCTGCCTTCAACCACTTGGCCATACTGCCTTAAACCACTTGGCCATCCTGCCTTCAACCATTAGGCCATCCTGCCTTCAACCACTAGGCCATCCTGCCTTCAACCACTTGGCCATCCTGCCTTCAACCACTTGGCCATCCTGCCTTAAACCACTTGGCCATCCTGCCTTCAACCACTAGGCCATCCTGCCTTCAACCACTTGGCCATCCTGCCTTCAACCACTTGGCCATCCTGCCTTCAACCACTTGGCCATACTGCCTTCAACCACTAGGCCATCCTGCCTTCAACCACTTGGCCCTGCTGCCTCAACCACTTGGCCATCCTGCCTTCAACCACTTGGCCATACTGCCTTCAACCACTTGGCCATCCTGCCTTCAACCACTGGCCATCCTGCCTTCAACCACTAGGCCATCCTCCTTCAACCACTTGGCCCTGCTGCCTTCAACCACTAGGCCATCCTGCCTTCAACCACTTGGCCCTACTGCCTTCAACCACTTGGCCATCCTGCCTTAAACCACTTGGCCATCCTGCCTTCAACCACTAGGCCATCCTGCCTTCAACCACTAGGCCACCCTGCCTTCAACCACTAGGCCATCCTGCCTTCAACCACTTGGCCCTACTGCCTTCAACCACTAGGCCATCCTGCCTTCAACCACTTGGCCATCCTGCCTTCAACCACTTGGCCATACTGCCTTCAACCACTAGGCCATCCTGCCTTCAACCACTTGGCCCTACTGCCTTCAACCACTTGGCCATCCTGCCTTCAACCACTTGACCATCCTGCCTTAAACCACTAGGCCATCCTGCCTTCAACCACTAGGCCATCCTGCCTTCAACCACTAGGCCATCCTGCCTTCAACCACTTGGCCCTACTGCCTTCAACCACTAGGCCATATCCGGGTTCGATTCCCCACATGGGTACAATGCGTGAAGCCCATTTCCTGTGTCCCCCGCCGTGATATTACTGGAATATTGCTAAAAGCAGCGTTAAACCGTACTCATTCATTCACTTGGCCATCCTGCTTCAACCACTAGGTCATCCTGCTTCAACCACTAGGTCATCCTGCTTCAACCACTAGGTCATCCTGCTTCAACCACATAGGTCATCCTACTTCAACCACTAGGTCATCCTACTTCAACCAGTTAAGCAACTGATCCTGAAGCCACTTAGCCACTTGCGAAACCACCGTGGAGCTCTTCCCCAAGTAACCAGGATGTTACCTAAAAGAAATAGCTCTATCTACCTCCATCAGGGCTAGCTTCACCAGCTTCATCCGGAAAAGGCTGATGTAGTGATGAACTATTGCTGCAAATGAGTCTGAATAATAGATACCAAGGTATTCACAGGATAAAACTGTTTAGGACAAGCTTCCGACAACTTCCGACAAACACATAACTGCCTCACTTCCGTCTTGACTTGACGTTTCAAGTATGACCGGAATCGGCAGACCACAATTACTGAACCTCTAGTGGTAGGAGTATTTTATTGATACTTCTGGTTTTCAATGTAAATAGGGCAATTAAGCATTATTTCTTCTCTGTGTCCCTCTTCTTCCCATTATCTCAGACATATCCATCAGTTTTTCAAGACACCCAGCTTCCTGAATTGATAAATTGAGATACATTATGCCTTGCTTGTTGCATGCAAGACGTCGCTATATTTCCACGGATCACGTTACCTAATTGTCATTTCGACGTTTCTGAATCCATCAGGAATAAAGGACAAACCCTACCACATTTATATTATTCTTTATGAAGACAAAAACTCAAATTATTGCTTTTGCCATGCAATGAAATGCAATATTGAACAACAATATATGTCTTTTACCAGGAAGCCATCTTAAGTGACTTCGTAAATAATACTTCTGACTTAATGGCGTAAGAAGGATGATTCCGCTGTCCTGGTCTGAGGTTTAAAATATTGTTTCTGTATGATTGTTAGGAACATATCACTCATTTATGGACAGAAGAGTATTTATATTGTCCATAAAATTATGTTACAGACATCGTTTGCATAAATATGTTTACTGAATTGTTCTGGAGAGGCTTTTGACTCTCTGAGCACATAATTCACTCTGGCTGATGGACTCACTGTAGAATACAAGGACTAATAAGTATTCATGAGTGCCTGTTTTGTCTGTTTGAAGTGCTATTACATAGTGATGATGGATGATTCGAACTGTATTCTTTCCATTATCGCAAGAGAAAGCTTAATTTGTTATTGTGATTCAGAGAATTTTATGCTGACCTCAAGCATAAGAGATTTATTTCTATGATTTCATGATTTGTGCTTTTGGCTGAAGTTTGTCCATTTTTTAATGAGTAATGGACATTTATGATCCGTATGTTTCAATAGTATCAGTTCTGTGAAGAAAGACTAGTGTTGGAAAATGTTGGAAGATGATGCAGCTCAAAGAGTCTCTTTAACCAGTCTTTATCTGGAGTGCTGTATGAATGTATACACTGCCAATGTATAAGATGCCTATGTGGAATAATCTATGGAGGCATAGCAATTCTGTTATAGGAGTTGTGTCCCTTAGGCGTGTCATGATCCGATGATTTGGTGTGATTATTTTTCACATAGTCTGCATCGGCAATTTACTTTGCAGAGTTATGTCCCTTAGGCGTGTCATAAGCTGAAGATTTGGTGTGATTATTTTTCACATAGTCAGCATCAGCAATTTACTTTACAGAGTTATGTCCCTTAGGCGTGTCATGATCCGAAGATTTGGGATCATTATCATTGCCAAGTCAGCAGCTGCAATTCACTATAAAGAGTTGTCTCCCTTAGGTGTGTCATGATCTGAGTACATCATTCAACACGTCTTTTTGAAAAATGTTTTTAGGGTGTATTTTTTATAAGATATTTTACGGATTTCTGCAAAACGTATCCTAAAGTTTTGGCTTGACATTAGACTGTAAACAGGACAAGATGCAATGATCAGACTTTAGGAAAAGAGTCAATTATGAAACTTCAGATGGATGGATGAGTGAGTGAGTGAGTGAGTGAGTGGGTGAGCGAGTGAGTAGGGTTTTACACCGCTTTAGCACTATCAGTATAGCAGCCATTTTCAGCAATATCACGGTGGGGGACACCAGAAATGGGCTTCACACATTGTACCCATGTTGGGAATCGAACCTAAAACAATTGACCATTTGAACCACTAGGCTGTCCCATGCCCCAAGTCAACACTTGGTGATGTACAATGTCGTTGTTGTAGCAATATATCAAAGTGATGAGCCGTCCGATGGTGCAGGAGAGGTATCACAACTTGATCTGGACAGCAGCATACCTGGACTATGTGACCGAGCAATCAGACATCAAAGAGCAGTTGGAGAACCCTTTCTCGGCTTACACAGACATGCTGGGTACAAACAAAGGGGATTTCAATAAGGTTAGTACCGGTTCTTCATATTGTCTCCCTCCAGTCTGTCACACTAAGGACCCGTGAAGGTCCGGGTTAGAATGAATCTTCAGTAACCCATGCTTGTCATAAGAGGCGACTAACGGGAATATTACTTGGGTGATTTATATATATATTTTTATCCCTCCTGCCTTTAGGTTTTCTGAGGACAAAAAATGAGTAAAACAAGAAATAAAATTGGTCTGGACTAAAGTGGTATAACCTGCCTTACTCTGTTTTGTTTCAGGGTCTCGGCCTGATGATCACAGTGGCCATGCCAGTATTTGACTCTAGAGAGTCTACAGTAAGTGACTTCTCTCCATCTCAACATCTCATATATGTGGAATATCACTTGCTCTTACGGAACATAAGTTTTAGATATACTTTAAATAATGTGAAGTTATCATTGATGTCAGTTGATGTCTCTGTTGTGAACATCTGTCAAACCAAGATCAGGAACCTGCAATCTTGACAACTTGTATGGCTCAAATATCCCAAATTAGAGCTGACCAGTTCTCTGGTGTACGGGATAGGGCCAGAACAGGAGGTCTGTGGTCAAGTCTGTAATGTACAAAAAGATGTTAAAATATGGTACTTGTTGGTCCCTGCCAGGCGTTCGGCATTAAAGGTTACAACAAGGACTGGTCGGCTCGGATTCAGTATAATGTGTCTGAGTGGGGTATTCATGCTTAGCTGTGCCATGGTATCTCAGTGGGCTAGCACTATAAAACCAGCTGAAGTCAGGGCTAGTACAAGCAGCCACACATACACATGCATGCACTTCGTCATGTGAGCGAAATATTCTCAAGTAAGACGTTAAACCCCATTTCACCTCACCTCACCTCTTGGCATGAAAGAGAAAAAAAAGGACTGATTGGCGCAGAGTTACTATACTGTGTCTAAGTGGGGTAGCAATGTTAGACCGTGGTGTGATATCTCAGTGGGCTTATACCAGCATTCATTTGGTAAAAGCCATGACACATATGCTTCAGCCAGAATAGATGTCATGTAGCCCAATCTCTAGGCTGTATCATTCCTAAAGATGTTGAAAGTTGGTATTTGTTGTTGCCTGGCATTAAGGGGATTAAACAAGGACTTTCTGAATCAGAGTTACCGGTACTATCATATTGCAGTGGGCCAGCACTAAAACCAGCATTCCTTGTGACAAGTACAAGCACTCACACATACATGCATGCATGTTGCAAATAAGTGTTATAATCTTCAATATATATATGGGTATTTATATAGCGATATAGTCTATCCCATCTACATGCATGCATGTTGCAAATACGTGTTATAATCTTCAATATATATATGGGTATTTATATAGCGATATAGTCTATCCCATCTACATGCATGCATGTTGCAAATAAGTGTTATAATCTTCAATATATATATGGGTATTTATATAGCGATATAGTCCATCCCATCTACATGCATGCATGTTGCAAATACGTGTTATAATCTTCAATATATATATGGGTATTTATATAGCGATATAGTCCATCCCATCTACATGCATGTTGCAAATACGTGTTATAATCTTCAATATATATATGGGTATTTATATAGCGATATAGTCTATCCCATCTACATGCATGCATGTTGCGAATAAGTGTTATAATCTTCAATATATATATGGGTATTTATACAGCGATATAGTCCATCCCATCTACATGCATGCTCAAAGCACTTTGTTTTTCCCTCGATCATAGGATGTCAATCTCAATGGCACTTCGTATTATCAATCTCAACTCCCTGGGGATCATACAACTCTTGCAGCCACTAGGCGCACCAAGTTAATGTGGCTTTACCATCCTTACAAGGTACCCATTCACAGCTGGGTGGACTGGGACACATAGTCACAGTACTTTGTCCAAGTTTACTGCTCGTTGCTGTACTGCAACTAGGTGTTTGCACGTATTCATGTGGCCACCATCTGGTCATTTACCAACAGAATCGTGGGTTCTTTTAAGTGCACAGGGTTATGTACTGTACACTAGGGGTTGTGACAACACTGAAAGAGTCTGCACACAAAGTTGACTCCAAGGTTTTTACACTCGGTCACAGGTGCCTCGATCCTGGGACCTCATGCCTGCTGGATCACTTTGACAGCTCGCCCACCGCACCCCCACATTTCGCCTAACCTTCCTTTAATTCATGAGACAAGATGGTGGTGATGTCTATGTGATATTTTACAGGATCTTTAACAGTGATAGTGTTTACAGAAGACATGTTTCTGTTTCAGGGGGAAGATGAGGAGCGACCAGATGGGAATCTGCTTGGTGTTGCCGGGACCGACATCCGCACCTTTGAGCTCAAGAAATATATTCCATTACACAAAGTAAGATTTGTTTACCATTAGGTTGCAAACCTGTTTTCAGAATTAAAGAGGTATATATTAAAATCTGAAAATATTTTAAAATCAGGGCTGAACCAAATATGAAGAAATATATGTACATAATGCTATGTTAAAATGTTTACTTAAAGGTCACATGCAACGTAAAACACAACTTTGCAGATTCTGATACCGTTCGGTATGGACTTACCGAAACAAATCATCAAAAATGCAAATTCAACTTATAAAGTTGAAAAATAACGCGATGAAAAAAACCGCGCGAAATTGTAGTTCAAACGATTCACTAACTTTCCCCCAGAGCTTGGGGGAATTGAAGTGGTTTCAACAGCTGGGCTGTGCTCATAGCACATGCGCGCCGAAGACCCGGGTTCGAATCCCCACATGGGTACAATGAGTAAAGCCCATTTCTGGTGTCCCCCGCCGTGATATTGCTGGAATATTGCTAAAAGAGGCGTAAAACCAAACTCAGTCAGTCAGTCAGTCATAGCACATGTGCAGTGAAATAGGTTTGCACAGCTTGGAAGCGTGTTGTCCGGTGAATATTCGGTGAAGGCTTTAGTGTGAGCTATTTTTCTAATGTTTTGTTGATATTTCACAGGCGCGAGCTTTTGATATGTTATTACAGTAGATTACCGATTTAACTGTTTATATAATTTCATTTGTCCATTTCACCACACGTTCTTCTTACCGAGTCACTTTCTCAGTTCGATACTTAAAAGCAATGTCATTATTTAGCGTCGACAGAATTTCTAACTGTGATATAGATATGTCGTTGTCACAGATAAAACTCAAAGTCTGTTTTAATGGCACCTATGTGTCTGCCTGCCCGTCTGCTAATGACAATATTCATTACACAATTTCAATCACTGACCTCATGCAATTTGAACTTAACACCTATCAGGCTATACACCATAAACAAAACGCATTGATTTATGGCCCGAGTTCGGTCTCTGTCACATTATGTAATTACACAGACGGGCAGGTGTGATACTTGTACACATGACATGTTATGATGTCTGTTGATTGCAAAATGTTATACACAAAAAATGAGCATGTATTTACAAAACCCAACATCTCTATCTATACACACACAATGACCCATGAGGGCATCTGCAAATGAACCAGCCGTTACACTTGAGTGCACACCCACCCACTCTGACTGGGTTCGGTATCCCGGCTGCTTCGTTTCTTGGGCAATAAACCCAAGTACAAAATATTGCACTTTTGATTTGTGATTGTACGCTTATAATTTTGTTTTTATGTTTTTTCATAACCAGTAATGTATATGAATAAGTGATAATTGTGTTTTAATTATGTTTGATTTTTTGGTTGCATGTGACCTTTAAGGAGTAAAGTTTTCTCTTATTAATCAAATTGAAGTAAATACTGAGGTTTAAATTTAAGGAAAATACTTTTAAATTTTGAACTTATGTTTCCATATTACTATGTAATTCAAATTTGGGCATAGTAAGTTTAAGTCTTGGCATGATCAGACAACAATATATACCTGGTATTGATTAATTTCTAAAGACATATTTGTGGTTACTATTGTCCGTTTGGCTCAAAACCATTTTTAGCCAAAATGTCCTAAAAATAAAAAAGTTGTTTAACAAACTATCATTAAAATATTTACACAGTTCACTATTTATTACGATGGAGGAGTGCAAAGAGAGGAATTCTTCCCAAAACACTCAGAGTTGGTCTGATGTTTTGATTATGATAAGTGTTAAATTGAGTATTATATGTTTATTAGTTTTCGAGTTAGATTGCAATTCATAGGTCCGCTTTTGAGCCAAACTGACTATATACAGTTGTTTGATCATTCCCTCCCATACAATACTAAAACATCTTTAAAGGATTCCAAATGCTCTGAAACTGTCTTGGAACATTTGACCAATGGTCATGATGATAGATGACTGGGCACTCGAGCAGATTATATGGATGCTTCATGCACACATACAGCGATTACTCCATGCAACACATTATAACAGAAGAATGAGTAGTTTGGATACAAATGTGAGCCTAAACACTCTGATATAATTCATTGATAAATGTGTTACTTGTTAATGACTTGTTAATTATTTGTTAATTACTTGTTAATTACAGCTTGGGGTCAATGGATATGCCTTTGCCATCACAAACCATGGCTATATTATCTTCCATCCAGACTTCAGACCTTTGGTAAGACCTTAAACCATATTCCTTTCTTTTGTTGTTATGGCAACAGGCATCTGTGATAATATATTTTGTAATTGCTGGTAGTAGGATCATGAGGTAACTGAACTAGTGGTTGAATCCAGTTTAGAATAGTTAATACAAGGCTATGAAATTGGATTGGGTGGTTAGTCAAGATGATTTTGACGGCATGGGATTGTGCTCATAATATTAATCACCGGTTTGCCGACCCAACAAGGTGTTGTGATGGAGGGTCCTGATGGAGGAGGGCATGGGTCAGAAGTCAGTAAAACTTAGGGACTTTAGTTAGAAGTGATTATTTTTTCAGCCTGCTCTGATATTGCTGGAATATTGCTAAAAGCAGCATAAAACTAAACTCACTCACTCATTATTCTTTCAGCTCACAGTCAGTAGAAAAACAGAAAAAATATTGTTAAGTTAAATCTAACACACAAATTCTCTATAGGAATTTTGATTGGCAATATGTCTGTAGAGAAAGATATCGAAAGATACTCAGCTGTCAGTTCTTGTTTTGCATCTGCTAAAAAACTGACAGATTTTGTTGTGCCAATCAATTTAGTATTTTTAATATGTACAACTTTCATAAGATTTTAACAAGATTACAGTAAAATTTAGATTTATACTGATCATATTTTTTTACATTTTGTGTCAGTATTTTTGCAATATTAATTTCACAATTTTATATGTTAGATGTCTTTCGTTAGTTGTTTAGGCCCTTCTTAATATAGCTGCCATGTTGGTGACTGCAGGGCCAGAAATATACTGGCATGCGGTTGATTGGGGTGTTAAGTAATCACATCTAACAAAATGATATCACTAAATATAGAGAGCAATGATATCCCAGCTTGTTTACAGTGTGTGTCTGTTGCAGTACTGGAGGGAGAAGGGCTCCACTGAGATGTTCGTCAAACCCAATTACAACAGTGTAGGCTTGACGGAGGTGGAACTAGCAGACAATGCCTCCAGTGTTCAAGAGGTGAGTTGACTTGACGGAGGTGGAACTAGCAGACAATGCCTCCAGTGTTCAAGAGGTGAGTAGACTTGATGGAGGTGAAACTGGCAGACAATGCCTCCAGTGTTCAAGAGGTGAGTTGACTTGACGGAGGTGGAACTAGCAGACAATGCCTCCAGTGTTCAAGAGGTGAGTTGACATGACGGAGGTGGAACTAGCAGACAACGCCTCCAGTGTTCAAGAGGTGTGTTGACTTGACGGAGGTGGAACTAGCAGACAATGCCTCCAGTGTTCAAGAGGTGAGTGACTTGACGGAGGTGGATCTGGCAGACAATGCCACCAGTGTTCAAGAGGTGAGTAGACTTGACGGAGGTGGATCTTGCAGACAATGCCTCCAGTGTTCAAGAGGTGAGTAGACTTGACGGAGGTGGATCTGGCAGACAATGCCACCAGTGTTCAGAGAGGAACTGAGTTGACAATGACATGATGCGGAGGTGGAACTAGCAGACAACGCCTCCAGTGTTCAAGAGGTGAGTAGACTTGATGGAGGTGGAACTAGCAGACAATGCCACCAGTGTTCAAGAGGTGAGTTGCACCAGTGTTCAAGAGGTGAGTAGACTTGACGGAGGTGGAACTAGCAGACAATGCCTCCAGTGTTCAAGAGGTGAGTAGACTTGATGGAGGTGGAACTAGCAGACAATGCCTCCAGTGTTCAAGAGGTGAGTAGACTTGATGGAGGTGGAACTAGCAGACAATGCCACCAGTGTTCAAGAGGTCAGTAGACTTGACGGAGGTGGAACTGGCAGACAATGCCTCCAGTGTTCAAGAGTTGAGTAGACTTGACGGAGGTGGATCTGGCAGACAATGCCTCCAGTGTTCAAGAGGTGAGTAGACTTGATAGAGGTGGAACTGGCAGACAATGCCTCCAGTGTTCAAGAGGTGAGTAGACTTGACGGAGGTGGAACTAGCAGACAATGCCTCCAGTGTTCAAGAGTGAGTGAGTGAGTGAGTTGTGTTTTACGCCGCACTCAGCAATATTCCAGCTATATGGCTGCGGTCCAGTGTTCAAGAGGTGAGCTGACTTGACTGTTGTGGAATTGACAGACAATGGCTCCAGTGTTCAAGAGGTGAGTTGACTTGACGGAGTTGGAACTAGCAGACAATGCCTCCAGTGTTCAAGAGGTGAGTAGACTTGACGGAGGTGGAACTGGCAGACAATGGCTCCAGTGTTCAAGAGGTGAGTTGACTTGATAGAGGTGGAATTGACAGACAATGGCTCCAGTGTTCAAGAGGTGAGTTAACTTGATAGAGGTGGAACTAGCAGACAATGCCTCCAGTGTCCAAGAGGTGAGTAGACTTGATAGAGGTGGAACTAGCAGACAATGCCTCCAGTGTTCAAGAGGTGAGCTGACTTGATAGAGGTGGAACTAGCAGACAATGCCTCCAGTGTTAAAAAAATGAGTTGACGTGACCGATGTGGTCCTACCCGACAATACGTCCAGTGCTCAAGAGGTGAGTTGACTTGACCGATGTGGAATCAACTCGAGTATTGTCAAGCAGATAATGTTGAAAATGATTGTGTAAATGTACCAAACATAATCTTCATGGATTGTTCCCAATCATCTACTGCTTGATGTTAATGATTACAAAATACAACCCTCCTTTACTCATTAAGCTTTTACTAAAACAGTATACCATAAGAAAACATGCACTAGTTTCAAGTGTGTACTTATAGAAATGTTGTCATTGAAGTGATGTGATATCATTTGAAGTGATATATGATATCATTTCAGCTCCGCCAGGGAATGTTGGACCACAACTTTGGCAGTATGGAGATGCAGGTGACAGAGCATGATGATATGGTAAGATGATGTAACTATGTAACTTAACACATTTTCATTTGGAAAAAATAGTGTAACTCTTTTTATATAATTTTGTGTATCCGAATATGCCATGTATCTGCATATGGCAATAGGGTGCAGAGGGTCAGAGATGAGAATTTTCCGCGGATCCGCAGAATCGATTGTGAATCGTCTAAATCCAAAGAAAAGGACCCCCGGTTCATTTTCCTCTTTTTTCACTCATACCTGTTCTCATCCCTTCAGAGTGCACCCTGTGGCTGTCTGCCAAGTGTTTTGTTTGCACTATGACTTAGTGGGTGCATCCTGCCTTTTTCATTACTTATGCCGACCAACAAACCCGAGAACAGTTTCACGAGTGAGTGAGAGTTTAGTTTTACGCAGCACTCAGCAATATTCAAGCTATATGGCGGCGGTCTGTAAATAATCAAGTCTGGATCAGACAATCCAGGGATCAACAGCATGAACATTGATCTATGCAATTGGGATATGATGACATGTCAACCCAGTCAGCGAGGTTGATCACCCGATCCTCTTACGACAAGCATGGGTTACAGAAGATCAATTCAAATCTGGATCTTCACAAGTCTCAGTCTATGCAAACATAACTAAAACTATTATGCTGGTATATGAAATGGTCCTCTAAATGATTTCAAAACCTTATACCGAAAAGGCATGCAACTAAACTACCACTGAAGACGAATTTTCTGTTTCTTTATTACAGAAGCGATTCAGAAAGAGGACAAACTTATATTACTATGGCAATGTGGGTGAAATATTCAGGTAAGAGAAGAAAATCTTTTGCGTGTGTATATTTTCATTATAAACAGAGAGTGAATGAATCTTTGACATTTTGACAACACCGTCTGTAAACATCCTGGACCAGACAGGTCATTGGTCAACAGGACCCATGCCTTTGTGGTGGTGTTCGGTAAAGAAGTCCTTGGTAAACAGTACCAGTTAAAATGTCTTAAATTTGCCTAGGTAGAAATGTCTTCCAGAAAGAGTCCCCTTTTCATTTTCTAACAAGAAATGTATAGAAAAACAATGCTTTTTTAGTTTTTTGGTTTTTCATTGTCACACATACAACAAATGTAAACGGCCTTATATAATGATGTATTGAAATTTTCACTTACTACAAAAGGACTTTTTTACCAAGGACTTTTCTACAGAGGACTTTTTTCCTATGGCGAACAATCAGTTGATCTCCTTGATGGATATCATGTTAAAATTCATGCTCAGTAGTCATTGTGACCACCTAATCCTCATATCTCCTTGATGGATATCATGTTAAAATTCATGCTCAGTAGTCATTGTGACCACCTAATCCTCATATCTCCTTGATGGATATCATGTTAAAATTCATGCTCAGTAGTCATTGTGACCACCTAATCCTCATATCTCCTTGATGGATATCATGTTAAAATTCATGCTCAGTAGTCATTGTGACCACCTAATCCTCATATCTCCTTGATGGATATCATGTTAAAATTCATGCTCAGTAGTCATTGTGACCACCTAATCCTCATATTAATCACCATATGCCACACTAGGCAGCAGAATTCTAATATGGCCTTGTTCCACGTATGATATGAGTATGGACTGTTAGTAATAATATTTTGTTCCTTTGAGATTGATAGTTCATAGTGTGAAAACACTACTTTGCCATATCATGCAAAACTAGAACATTTGACCTTTTTGCTGTTGCAGCCTTGCCTTAGTGATACCCAAAGGATACGGGGAAATAAGACTTCGGCCCCAGTACAACCTTCTCCATACTCGTGAGTTCTTCATGGTCTGAGCTAAAACGTTTTATTCAGCATCATAATTGAAGCAATGTTTGTTTGTTTGTTTGTTGTTTAACGACGCACTCAGCAATATTCCAGCTATATGGCGGCGGTCTGTAAATAATCCAGGCTGGACCAGACAATCCAGTGATTGACAGCATGAGCATTGTTCTACGTAATTGACATGTGTCAACCAAGTCAGTGAGCCTGACCACCCGATCCTGTTAGTCGCCTCTTACAACAAGCATAGGTTGCAGAAGACCAATATTCTAACCCAGATCTTCACAGATCTTTTCAACAGTCCTGTCTAGAGCATCCTTGCCCAACTCAGAGCTTTACACTTAAAGGTCCAATGCTAAAAAGTTATTCCGAACCATTTAGTTTTTTTATATTCACTTTGGATGCATTCTGATTCTGAACATTAATTTTTATCAAATTTTAATTCAAAGTTGCAGTTATTATTATGTGTATAATGTTGTTAAGTGCAAACAAACATTTTCCATAAAACTATTATTGTGATGGTAAGGAGACTGATGATGTAGTTTGTTCTTTCAGAGACAGAAGCTGAGTACCTCAACAACGAGACCCTGCTGCTGGCTCCCTGGTGAGTCAGTTTAAATATTTTCATGTTGCTTGGGACCAGTGAGCTCTTGTGCCCCAAAAATTTGTACTTCAAGTAGATCATCCTTGCTGGTTGCTCTAGCAGAGATGCCAACCACTCTGATTTTGGTGGCGTTTCTCCAATTTTCCAAAACAAAATCTGCTCTCTGATTTGTCTTTGACAAAAACGTTGATTTTGAGAAAAAAATTGTGAAATTGTTTTTACGGTGTACAATTTCGGAACTCACCAGTGATTTATTTGAGTCGACACTAGTAAAAGCATTCAGTAGCTTAGCATGTGATCTTTTGGGTCTTGTGTATATTGCGTGTTATTGAGTTTCACAGTTTTTCTGAATGCATGTCGTAGCTTGTATAAGTGAGTCCCCTCGCACTCACCCCCATCTTGGACTTTCGGTGATCGGGCATGACTCCACGTTCATTAGATTTAGAATTGGCATCTCTGCTCTAGTGCCAAAAATGCCGAGTGAGCTATCATCCGAAAAATGTGCTGGGAGAAGATCAGCCTTGCTGGGAACCAGTGGTCTCTAGTTTTAAAATATATACAAGGAGTAGAATAGCCTTTTGTTTATGTGTCTGTTTCATCGGAACTGGAAAATAACATTTTGGGTGAAGAAGGGTGAGGTTGCTGGAGTGTCATTGTGTTCCTCCACTATGACGTGTATACATACAGTCACTCCACGTCATTGTGTTCCTCCACTATGACGTGTATACAGTCAGGCCACGTTAATCCAGTCTCCGATAATCCGATTCCCGTGCCATCCGAACAGACTCAAGCTGTAACCAAGCTTGTTTACTATATAAACACATCAATTGTTGATCCATTAATCCGATTCTTCAGTCTCCGACTCCGAACATCAATTATCGGTAACGAATTAGCTTATTGTGCTTGTCTTTGCTAGTCATGGTGATTTACATCAATGGGAAATTATTTTGTGCAATGAATTTTGAAATATCAAAGTTTTTATGTGTAATCAAGTTAGTTGATATATGTTTACATTCTTTTGTCTCTGTCAGTCAAGTGAAAGGGATGTAACTGCAGTGTGGTGTACTGGACTTGTTTCAGCAAACCGAACGTTTCACTATCCGAACATTTTTTATGAAAAACGGCACTGTTTGGATTAACACGGGCTGACTGTAACCTAGCGTTGCACATGTTGATCACATATATGTTTGTGTTCAGGATTTTCTGCAAGAATGAATCCACTGGTCAGATGCAGACACTGAGGAAATACCAGCTCCAAGATATTGTCAATGGAACAGGAAATCATCAACTAAAATGTGAGTGCACACTTCAAGATTATAATAATAATGATAGTAATGGCTTTTATAATCCGCTGTATCCACGCCATGAAGCCATGCTCAAAGCGCATTATTATTACCCCGAATAACCCAAGCTGCATGTTAGGGGCTAGAAGGTTATAGTCACATGACTTATTCCACCGGGTACCCATTTTCTACTGGGTGAACAGAGGCAATTTTGAACAGATTCACTTGCCTAAGGTGAGACCACATGCATCGCATGAGCTTCATTGTGGGGCAGGACTGAGGTCCTAGAAACTCTCAGGAGTCAAGCTGTCAAACACGGTCACCCATCAAAGGACTGTCCGAGCTCGACGTTGCTTAACTTCAACTGGTTTGTGACCTGAGCTCTATGCACATTACCACACCACCAATTGTAGGTGTATCATGTATAGGATACATGTAATAATGCTAGATACTAAAACCCTTAGTTTCACTTAGGTAAGTTGATGAAAGAGTGCGACAATTTCCCCGGCTTTCTAGGTTTGAATCCTTATAAAATTGACCCTAATTATCATCACTGGTCATTTGCCCGAAACCTAGGTTTCAGCAAAGTACAACAACACATCCCAAATCTGCATTACTTTGAACTTTTCTTCCAGCGTTAGGCTGACAGGATGTGGCATAACTAAAAGCCGTCTCACTCACACGCTAAAACCCTGTTTGCTTACCTGAATCACTAACTTTCTGACTTTGACCTTGCAGGCGACCCTGACCTTGTGAGACTGTTGGTGTACGATGCAATCCAGACTTACAACTACACCAAGATCTGGGAGGGGCAGAAGGACTACCTCGGACGGGGCAGGCTCAGACCAGGATCTAACATCAAGTGAGTAAAACAGACCTGGTTCTATCATTAAGTGAGTAGAAGAGACCTGGATCTAACATCAAGTGAGCAGAACAGACCTGGATCTAAAACCAAGTGAGTAGAACAGACCTGGATCTAACATTAACTGAGTGGAACAGACCTGGATCTAACATTAAGTGAGTAGAACAGACCTGGATCTAACATTAAGTGAGCAGAACAGACCTGGATCTAACATTAACTGAGTGGGACAGACCTGGATCTAACATTAAGTGAGCAGAACAGACCTGGATCTAACATTAACTGAGTGGAACAGACCTGGATCTAACATTAAGTGAGTAGAACAGACCTGGATCTAACATTAAGTGAGTAGAACAGATCTGGTTCTATCATTAAGTGAGTAGAACAGATCTGGTTCTATCATTAGGTGAGCAGAACAGACTTGGATCTATCATTAGGTGAGCAGAACAGACCTGAATCTAACACCAAGTGAGTTAAACAGGCCTGGATCTATCATTAGGTGAGCAGAACAGACATGTTTCTAACACCAAGTGGGTTAAACAGACCTGGATCTAGCATTAAATGAGTAGAACAGACCTGGTTCTTTCATTGAGTAGAAGAGACCTGGATCTAACACCAAGTGAGCAGAACAGGCCTGGTTCTGACGTCAAGTGAGTAAAACAGACCTGGAACTAACTTCATGTTAGTAGTGTATGCCTGATTCTGTCTTCAGGTGAGTTGAATGCAACTGGATCTAATATCAGGGGCATAATACAGATATGGATCTAATTGCTGACATGGATGTCTGTTGGAGTTGGAGATACATGATGACAGGGCAGACAATTTTGTTCATTTTCATGAACGGAAAATACCTAGTCCCTATGTTGCCTACAAAAATATGTTGTTTAGGCCAGACCAATTATATATTTCTTGTTTTAAGGATCTTATTTTTAATGGATATACAAACCAAAAGAGTTAACATGGAAACTCATGTGGGTTTTTGCTTTGACTGGTGATTTTTTAAATACAAATTTTCCCTCCTGCCTTTATGTTTTCTGAAGACAAAAATCCGCAAAACAAGAAATAAAATTGGTCTTGCCTTAGTTGTGTATCTGGTTCAAATGCAGCCTGTAAGCATGGGAAATATAGCCGTAAATACATGCAGCATATTCAGGGTGAACCATACATCCTTCAAAGTTCAGCTTAAACTTTACAGATGCTTATTGCAACATCATTTGAGCAGATTTCCTATTAAGCAAAGAATGATCTGGGGGAAAAGGAAATCTACACAGTGAGTGAAACGATGCAGACAATGATATTTTGGGACAGTTTCATGAAGACATCTGCGATATTTTGTTCTTTTTGTATTACCAATATTGTATTAACCCAATGACTAATGTCACGATAGTCAAAATCATTGTTGTGAAGGTGTATGAAGATATTTGTCGAGTGGAGGTATGGTGCAAACCATCGAACACATATATGACAACTTGAAAAAACATTTTAACCTATAATTTCAATTCACTTTTCCAGGAAGGATTACCGTTCATGCTATGGTATTGCAGACCAGAGAGAAATGAAAAAATGCTACACCAAAGTGCATGCAAAGTAAGTATGAAAATCACACACAGAATATCATTAAAAACTATCATGATGTGAATACTACTAATATTAATTCATTTATATAGCACCTAGTATCCATCTGACTAGTTGCTCACTGGATGCTATAATCAGAATCTGATTAATATTACCCCGGATAACCCAAGCTGCCTGTTAGGCGCTAGATGGTTACAGTCACATGACTTTATCCAACCAGGTACCCATTTTCTGCTGGGTGAACAGAGGCAATTTTGAACAAACTCACTTGCCTAAGGTGAGACCACATGTATCACATGTGCTTCGTTGTGGGGCAGGACTGAAGTCCTAGAAACTCTCAGGAGTCAAGCTGTCACACACGGTCACCCATCCAAGGACTGTACGAGCTCGACGTTGCTTAACTTCACCTGATTCATGACCTGAGCTCTACGCACAGGACCACACACCGCTACACATCCAAAATACTGATTACTTTAGCAGATAGTGTCGTATAGTAACTTGAAGTTTAAGCCAAGAAATTTATGGATGTCAACTTTGTGTCCATCACAATAAAGAAATTGACATCCATAAAATTCTTGGCTTTATGTGCATCAATTTAAACATCCAGCTGCCAAGAGGAGACAACTCCCATACACTTTGTTAATAAATGCTGTAGGGATGCCACACAAATCAGTGATGTATCAGGAGGTTTAACCACAGTAAAGGATGACTCTCATATAGGATGCAGATAATTTTTGTCAACTGAGGCCATAAATGCAGAATGGACTTTTGACTTGACAATAGTAAATAGCTGGTGATGGTATTTGTCTGTGGGATAAAGTAACTTGCCCCTAATTGCCATATGACCTTGACTTTCATACCTATTTTATGTCAAATGATTGTTTCAGATATGGAATTGACTTTATCTTCATTGGTACAAGTGTCGGGTTGACCCGCTTCATGCAGGTGGAAGAGGCGGAAAACTTAACAGAATTGTAAGTGGAACAATGCTTTAAAGTCAAGATGTCAACAAAACAGATGATACTAAGATGTCATTAAATAGAACAAGGTTTTATATGTCATTAAGTAGAACAATGCTGAGATGCTGTTAAGTAGAATATGTTTGGATGTCAATAAGTAGAAAAATTCTAAGATGTAATTTTTCAGAACTAGGTTGAGATTTTATTTGGTGCGACCCGTGAAGGTACGGGTTAGAATTGATCTTCAGTAACCCATGCTTGTCGTAAGAGGATTGGGTGGTCAGGCTCGCTGGCTTGGTTGACACATATAATGGGTTCCCAACTGCGCAGATTGATGCTCATGCTGTTGATCACTGTATTATCTGGCGCAGATTCGATTATTTACAGACTGCCGCCATATAGCTTGAATATTGCTGGGTGCAGCGGTTAAACTAAACTCACTCACTCACTCACTTTTATTAGGTGCAACAAGGTTGAAATGTTTAAAGTAGAACAATCCTCAGGTGTCATCAGGTAGAATATGCTCAGATGCTGTGAAGTAAAGCAATGTCATTTTGTGGACCAAGGTTGATATGTAATTAAGTAGAACAACACTGAGATGTCACTAAGTAGAACAACACTGAGATGTCATTAAGTAGAACAACACTGAGATGTCATTAAGTAGAACAACACTGAGATGTCATTAAGTAGAACAACATTAAGTAGAACAACACTGAGATGTCATTAAGTAGACTGACTGACTGAGTTTAGTTTTACGCCGCTTTTAGCAATATTCCAGCAATATCACGGCGGGGGACACCAGAAATGGGCTTAACACATTGTGCCCATGTGGGGAATCGAACTCTAAGTGGACGAGCCAACTTTAACCACTAGGAGATGTCATTAAGTAGAACAACACTGAGATGACTAAGTGGAACAACACTGAGATGTCATTAAGTAGAACAACACTGAGATGTCATTAAGTAGAACAACACTGAGATGTCATTAAGTAGAACAACACTGAGATGTAAGTAGAACTAAAGTGAGAACAACACTGAGAATGTCACTGAGATGTCACTAGAACAACACTGAGATGTCATTAAGTAGAACCACACTGAGATGTCACTAAGTGGAACAACACTGAGATGTCATTAAGTAGAACAACACTGAGATGTCATTAAGTAGAACAACACTGAGATGTCATTAAGTAGAACAACACTGAGATGTCATTAAGTAGAACAACACTGAGATGTCATTAAGTAGAACACTGAGATGTCACTAAGTAGAACAACACTGAGATGTCATTAAGTAGAACAACACTGAGATGTCATTAAGTAGAACAACACTAAGTGGAACAACACTGAGATGTCATTAAGTAGAACAACACTGAGATGTCATTAAGTAGAACAACACTGAGATGTCATTAAGTAGAACAACACTGAGATGTCAGAACAACACTGAGATGTCATTAAGTAGAACAACACTGAGATGTCACTAAGTAGAACAACACTGAGATGTCATTAAGTAGAACAACACTGAGATGTCATTAAGTAGAACAACACTGAGATGTCATTAAGTGAGATGTCACTAAGTAGAAACACTGAGATGTCATTAAGTAGAACACAACACTGAGATGTCATTTAGAACAACACTGAGATGTCATTTGGGAACAACACTGAGATGTCAGTGAACAACACTTTTAAGTCGTACAATGCTGATATTTTTTGTTTAATATTTCCAGTGATTTTGCTTCATCGAGTACAAAGACGATTGGGGAACCATACTACAAGCGAGCTGTCAGTGGCTGGCAAGATGGCTACAACTACACCTTTGCTCTCAGGAATTCAGGTAATTGGAGTTGGTGGTTGGTATGCTGACTTTGGGAGTGATTACAGTTCACAGTAGACAGAAGTCTGTAAGTAACTGAATCTGGGAAGACAAACCAGATGCTGATAGCATGACTAATAATTCAAGCCTATGAGCAACTGTGCCAGGATCACAATGACACATTGTCCAATCCTATAAAATTTCGCGGCTTCAATTTCGGACCTCTTCCTTTTCAGTATGAGTCAAGAGTTAATAAGAAAGCTCTGGCCATTCAATCGGATCCATCACACTTTTTAAATGAATGTTATGAACTTTTGCCTTCTGGCCGCCGTTTGAAAGTCATGTATTACAAAACTAATAGAACTTCAAAGTCATTTGTCTCATACAGTGTAAAACTTCTAAATCTTCCTCCAAAACTGTAATAGTGAAATCAATGATGTGGCACGAGTGATTATTATATGATGTACTTTGATTATGATTCATCATTATATTGTGATTAGCTTGACATTTGTGTACATCTATATACTTTAAACTATTTGTTGTTATATGCATTGTATTGGCTCTTTGAATACAAGACAAATTTCCCTTGTGGGACAATAAAGTTTATCTTATCTATCTCTCTCTTATCTCTGATCCTAGTTTAGTCTCTCTCAGATCAACTGAGATATAACGACATGATCAACAAGATGACATATTGTCATCATCCAATTTTTTTAAATTCCTTGTGCGATCAGCTGATTCACAATGATATGATCAGCAAGAGGATACCTTATGACTATCCAGTCCTTGTCAGATCAACTGAGAACAAGTGGCGGTGGGGTAGTCTAATGGTTAACATGTTTGTTCATCACACCAAAGACCCGTGTTCGATTCCTCACATGGATACAGTGTGTGAAGCCCATTTCTGGTGGCCCTGGTGATGTTGCTGGAATATTGCTTAAAGCGGCGTAAAACCAAATTCACTCACTCAACTGAAGACAATGCTATGATCGACAAATTGACATATTGTGACAATCCAATCCTAAGTTGTGTGAGGAAGATTTACCAACCGACACATTTATGAATTTATCTATTTCTTATTTTTGTTTTTGTGTAGGAATGTTTCCTATGCAGTCGACCACTGTGATCATGTCGTCGCCGGAGGTGTTGAAGCGCGGAGGAAAGGAAGCTGTTGCTGCTGTAGTAGGATTCCAGATGAAACATTATAAGTTCTTTGAGATGTTCCACAACATAACAACAGAGTGCCCATCTGGCAGCTGTGACTTCACATGTAATGACACAGAGGTAGGGACCTGATTACATCGGACAAAAGCCTTAGGAGACATTGTGTAAAATTTGCTGCAGTCAAACTGAGGAACATCCCCAACATCCCTGATCCAAACAGGAGCCATGAAGTTCATTTTCTTGGTGTCTGTTGTTCTGTTTCTGTTTGTAAATATGGATGGACAGATATGTATTAGTCAGTTGTTTAACTTGATGAAATAGAAATTATTGCTTGAATTTACATTTGATATTCAAAAAATTTCTTTGAAGAGGCAGATCCACCTGTTTACAGATCTTCATCCTCTGTAGAATCCAAATCTTGTTTCCAGGTTGTTTATTGATATGACATATTGTTTGTTGCCAGTATTTAAACTGCTACCTCCTAGACCACAGTGGCTTTGTAATGGCCTCCAATAACAAGGATGGAAATGATGTAAGTATAACGTTACATACATTCTGAAAAAGTATAAACCTATAGTGATGTCACTCTATTGTCTCGCCAGGTTCTCCTTTTACTTCGTAAATCTCTACAGGCAGTTTCGCAGGCATTCTCCAAGAAATCCTGGGGATTTTCTACAGAATTGCCTGCATCCTGGGGATTTTCTGGGGAATTGCCCGCAGCCCGTGGATTTTCTGAGGATTAGCCCTTGACTTTGAATTATTTTACTTGTTTTGACAATTGACATAACTTTGTCTTGCTATTACTGAATACGATCATAAAATATCGCATTATTGAAAACTTCTAATTTATTGTGCCGATGTCTGGTTTCACAGTCCCTGAACCTGCAACCCTTACTGCTAAGATTGCACTAGCTTGGCAGTTTTATCCACTAGGCTATGAAGGATCGCTGTGAAGAATGAGATTGTTTGTCAGTATGAACCATGTGTTCCTCACAAGACAGGTAGTACTAGCTTGGCAGTTTTATCCACGCAGGTTCACTGTGGTAGCGGGTGCAGAGCACATACATTCTGCATGCAAGGCAAGGTCTCGGCTGCCAGTCGCATCCCAGTTGATTTCAACAGTTAAAACCAAATATATAATTATATCTAAAATACATCTTAGGTCGGTTCATAAGTTGGATCTTAAGTAAGCTCTTGACCTCGGGAAATTGGGTCGGGTCTATCGGCCCTCCCAAATTTCCCTCTGCCACTGGCCTACATTTTCAAACTAAACCTCGCAATCAGTTTGATCCTTCACAAATAATTTACAAAATATTTCATTTAGAGAAAGAACATATTTTTGTGAGATATACAGCTGTGTAAAACTTTGATACCAAAGAATTTCAGTTGAAGCCAACAGTATCAACCAGATGTTACATAATGTTGAAGTGTATGGACTATGAAATCACAGAATTTATGTGAAATATCTGTAAATCATTTTGCAGACAAACAGTGATGGAAGAATCACATCACTATTGAATGGAATGAATTCATCATATAATAATGTTCATGTGTTTATTTTACAGACAGGAAAATTTTTCGGTATGGTGGACAACTCTTTATTGGAAGAATTAATACGAGAAAATATTTATAACATGTAAGTAGCCCATTAAATCTTGTTTATTTGTTTATGGTAATGTTGAGTCTGGTAATTGTGAGTCTTTTAGTGGTTATAGTTCCTCTAGCTTCATATGCGTGACACATCTTTCTAAAGTTTGTACGTTGTACATTGCTTGTATGAAGTTGTATTGCATGACCACATCTCACCTACACTGACTTGTTTTCAGAGCAAACATGACAGACTATCAAGGGATGTGTAAAGTGTATGCCAGTGATCAAGAGAGTGCCGCACCATTGTTAACTAATGTAAGTCAGTGATATAAGGAAACGCCAGATGTCATGTTAGTTTCAGACTTTATTATGACTGTCTAAGTAAAGGTCTTACACTGACTAGCTCAAATATGTCACTGACACTATAGGGCAGTCACTTGTCCCCTTGTCAACAATTTCCTCATGAGAAGCACATGGTTTCCACGAGGCAAGGTGTGTTTTTACATGTCACGCCCAGAAACTCTCTCTGGCGCATTTTGGCTCGCAAAACCTCCTGAACAGTCAGTTTATGTACATAGCAGAAGCATCTATCACAACCGTAATTTGAGTGTGTGAGTGTTGGTTCAAATTAAGTTGTGGAACAGTGAGAAAAATGATTAATCTTTCTATATGCAAGCAAAGCGAGCAAAGGTTGTCAATGTGCTTCCCTCGCTTCGGTTCGAAAAATTTTAATATAAAAATAAAATATTTCCACCATCAAAGGTAGACACCCATTTCCTCACAGGGTTGTGCTCTCAGATTTCAAACCTTATAATTTTTTTTTCATTTAATAATTACTCGTGTACAACATATTTAGTTGAACCTGTGTCTTCGGCGTGACGAGCGAACGGTTTAACCACCTTGCTACCCCACTGCCCCAGCTTTACATGAAAACTTAATCCCACTTAAAGGTGTTATCTGAAATAATGGAAATCTATCTTAGCTCAGACCAATTCTATTTCTTGTTTAACGGATCTGCCGCTTGTATTTTTTCAAGAATAAGAAAAAAATATATAAAAACTTCCCTGCTCAAAAAATATAATCCTAATGTTTTTACTGGTCAAAAATGTAAACTTACAAGAAAATTGTTTAGATTGTTTTTTGCCCCATATACACATCATAAATTGCCAACAGTAAAATACTTTTTAAAAGAAATATTGCTTTAACTGGTGATTTTTTAATATTTTTAATCCTTCCTGCCTTTTCTGGTTTTCTTAGGACAAAAATCCGTAAAACACAAAATAAAATTGGTCTGGCCTTAAAAATATGCTCATAACACCTTCTTTCATGTATCTGTCACCTCTAAACTGTGCATTGATTATTTCCTTTACCTTTCAGCCACTGTCAAAAATATTTGGTTGGTTATTGTGGACTATAGCAGAAATTGTTATGTAAGTATGTGTATGATACAGTGAATGAGTGAGTTTAGTTTTATACGCGCACTCGGCAATATTCCAGCTATATGGCAGCGGTCTGTGAATAATCCAGTCTGACCAGACAATCCAGTCATCGACAACATGAGCATCGATCTATGCAATTGGGAACCGATGACATATGTCAACCAAGTCAGCAAGCCTGACCCCCCGATCCCGTTAGTCGCCAGCATGGGTTACTGAAGATCAATTCTAACCATGATCTTCATGGGTGTGTAAGATACAGAGTCATGTTCATGGTTTTTAATGTCTGGCTGGTGAAAATATTGGCTAGAAAGAACAGAGAATATTGCAATTTAATAAAGACATTTTGATAAAAATGGTGCCAATGCAGTAATTTCCTGTTCTAAAATTCTTTCTGTTTTGATTGTCTAATATGTGAAATAAGAATCTAAAAGTACAATAACAATCAGGATGCTGCATTGCTATGTTAAGTGTCAAAGGCTCCTTGGTAAGATGGGGTTATGTTCTCATTTAAATCATTCAATATGGAACATGAGTATGGAACAAGTGTAAAATGCCACCTTTCATAAATCTCATTGCTGTAAGTAAAATTGGGCTGTCCTTTATACAAGAAAAAAGTAACTTTTGTAAAATGCCTCAGTTATTGCTTCAATGGCACATCTTCTATTACCGCTAATAAATTTGTTTCTGTTTCAGATTTTTGTCTGAGTGGAGTTTTTATAGTCTGTTGAATAGTGTAAATTATGTCAGAGGTATGTGGTATATGTATTAGCTTCAATTGTGGTCATTTTCTCAATTTAATTTGAAGTTTTGCAACAACATGATTCACCACTGTTTATGTAAAAATGGACAATGATCCCCCATTCATTCATATTACGAAAGGTTATTTTCTTTATTCGTATATACGCATTACTCTGTATTAAACCAAATATGATGTGATGTGGATGTTTGGTAATGATGTGAGTCAGGATGTTTGGTAGTGATGTGAGTCAGGATGTTTTAGTGATGTGAGTCTGGATGTTGGTAGTGATGTGAGTCAGGATGTTTGGTAGTGATGTGAGTCAGGATGTTTGGTAGTGATGTGAGTCAGGATGTTTGGTAGTGATGTGAGTCAGGATGTTTGGTAGTGATGTGAGTCAGAGTGTTTGGTAGTGATGTGAGTCAGAGTGTTTGGTAGTGATGTGAGTCAGGATGTTTGGTAGTGATGTGAGTCAGGATGTTGGTAGTGATGTGAGTCAGGATGTTTGGTAGTGATGTGAGTCAGAGTGTTTGGTAGTGATGTGAGTCAGGATGTTTGGTAGTGATCTGAGTCAGGATGTTTGGTAGTGATGTGAGTCAGGATGTTTGGTAGTGATGTGAGTCAGGATCTTTGATAGTGATGTGAGTCAGGATGTTTGGTAGTGATGTGATATTGGATGTTTGGTAGTGATGTGAGTCAGGATGTTTGGAAGTGATGTGAGTCAGGATGTTTGGTAGTGATGTGAGTCAGGATGTTTGGTAGTGATGTGAGTCAGGATGTTTGGTAGTGATGTGAGTCAGAGTGTTTGGTAGTGATGTGAGTCAGGGTGTTTGGTAGTGATGTGAGTCAGGATGTTTGGTAGTGATGTGAGTCAGGATGTTTGGTAGTGATGTGAGTCAGGATCTTTGATAGTGATGTGAGTCAGGATGTTTGGTAGTGATGTGAGTCAGGATGTTTGGTAGTGATGTGAGTCAGGATGTTTGGTAGTGATGTGAGTCAGGATGTTTGGTAGTGATGTGAGTCAGGATGTTTGGTAGTGATGTGAGGTGCATGTTCCTATAGAGGCTGGTGGGAATGTAATTATACATTTATAGAGACCTAACATTTTGATGGCTTCCATCTTGCAGGTGAGGACTTTGAAGATATGGAGGACATTGCAGACCCAGATTTCCAGTTCTACATGGGGTTGCTGGTCGGGTCAGAAACTCGGGAACGTGTAGAGATTGACTATGTTGTAGACTTCGAAGCATGTGACAAGACAGTCCGTCTTTATGCTCTCAATGTTACAACATTCCATAAACTTAACAGGAATGGTTTGACCAAGTCTATAACCAGCTGTGGATGTAGCCGAATGAGTCACAACCGGTGGGTACTTTATAACACAGGAGTATTTTGTCCTAGTGGTCCTCCCTCGTCCTACATTCAGTACCCTAATACTTTTATGTCTTAGGTATTGAAATTTAGCAGTATTGGTTTAATCTTATATAATTTTGAAATAACATTTTTGATTTAATTTGCTTTATATTTCAGCAAAAATTATATTTCCAATTACTGACAATACTAATAGACATATTTTTACTTTATCTTAACTATATATTTTTGTTTGCCAAGGACACATCATTTCATGGGCTAGACAAATAAAATTTAGAATAACTGCTTCTGGACCAAGGATGAGTAAGCTGTAGGTTCTCACATAAACATGATGAAAGTCATGGACTTCATCTTAGGATGAAGATATTTGCATCTTTAGCATTGGACAGGCATGCTGCATTGGTATAGCTTAGAAGTATATCACACTTTGCATTTCAATCTAAGTATCTTAGAATTAGTTTTAAAGAGGAAATGGAATATTACTTAAAGTGTTGGCATGTAACTTAATATGCATTATGTGAAAAAATACATTTTATTATGAATGCATGATGTATGGGAATGTTTACATAGATATTTTTTAATTCCTTTATACATTTCAATATTGCTCATTAGTAAGTATATATGGGAATACTAAACAATGCCATGTTTTGTATATTTGGTTTTGTTAATCGTCAACAAAAGCTGCATCCTGGTGATATTAAGATTGGGGGCAGTGGGGTAGCCTAGTGGTTAAAGCGTTTGCTCATCATACTGAACACCTGGGATCGATTCCCCACATTGGTAAAATGTGTGAAGCTCATTTTTGGTGTCCTCAGCCCTGCTGTTGCTGGAATATTGCTAACAGCGGCATGAAACTCACTCACTGATATGAAGATTGAGCATTGGTGTAGAATGACACCGAGATGGGTTTCATGCTGAGCTAGTTTTGGCCACTTTTATGTCTACTGAAATCATGTGGCTGAAATAATGCTGAATTTATTATGAAACCTCTCTTATTCTCTCAACACAACCTTCTTACCTGAATCATTGCCATTAAATCAACACATGGGTACACCTTGTGAACCTGAAACAGCTCATGGAATAATTGCTGTGTAAAACATTGTTGGTTGGATCATTGATAATTATGGAACATGTTGGATCGATTATTGATAGTACATGGGTAGTGTTATGAGGGTGAGATAGTACTTGTGGCTGGTAATGTTGCTTGGGTGAGATAGTACTTTCAGTCAGTGAATATTATTACTATGGTGAAATAGTTTTTCTGGTCAGTAATAATATTACGGTGAGATTCTATGTTGGTTCTTGAGTAAAATCACTACTTGATTGGTAAGTATCATTACTAGAGTAAAATTACTAGGGTGTGTAGTCAGGGATAATCATTACTAGGGTGAGATAATACTGGTAGTCAGGGATAATCATTACTAGGGTGAGATAATACTGGTAGTCAGGGATAATGAGATAATCTGGTAGTCAGGGATAATCATTACTAGGGTGAGATAATACTGGTAGTCAGGGATAATCATTACTAGGGTGAGATAATACTGGTAGTCAGGGATAATCATTACTAGGGTGAGATAATACTGGTAGTCAGGGATAATCATTACTAGGGTGAGATAATACTGGTAGTCAGGGATAATCATTACTTAGGTGAGATAATCTGGTAGTCAGGGATAACTAGGGTGAGATAATACTGGTAGTCAGGGATAATCATTACTAGATAATACTGGTGAGATAATACTAGGGTGAGATAGTCAGGATAATCATTACTAGGGTGAGTGAGATAATACTGGGTAGGGTCAGGATAATCATTACTAGGGTGAGATAATACTGGTAGTCAGGGATAATCATTACTAGGGTGAGATAATACTGGTAGTCAGGGATAATCATTACTAGGGTGAGATAATACTGGTAGTCAGGGATAATCATTACTAGGGTGAGATAATACTGGTAGTCAGGATAATCATTACTAGGGTGAGATAATACTGGTAGTCAGGGATAATCATTACTAGGGTGAGATAATACTGGTAGTCAGGGATAATCATTACTACTGGGTGAGATAATACTAGGGTGGTAGTCAGGGATAATCATTACTAGGGTGAGATAATACTGGTAGTCAGGGATAATCATTACTTGGGTGAGATAATACTGGTAGTCAGGGATAATCATTACTAGGGTGAGATAATACTGGTAGTCAGGGATAATCATTACTAGGGTGAGATAATACTGGTAGTCAGGGTAGACTTAGGGTGAGATAATACTGGTAGTCAGGGATAATCATTACTAGGGTGAGATAATACTGGTAGTCAGGGATAATCATTACTAGGGTGAGATAATACTGGTAGTCAGGGATAATCATTACTAGGGTGAGATAATACTGGTAGTCAGGGATAATCATTACTAGGGTGAGATAATACTGGTAGTCAGGATAATCATTACTGAGATAATACTGGTAGTCAGGGATAATCATTACTAGGGTAGAGGATAATCATTACTAGGGTGAGATAATACTGGTAGTCAGGGATAATACTAGGGTGAGATAATACTGGTAGTCAGGGATAATCATTACTAGGGTGAGATAATACTGGTAGTCAGGGATAATCATTACTAGGGTGAGATAATACTGGTAGTCAGGGATAATCATTACTAGGGTGAGATAATACTGGTAGTCAGGGATAATCATGAGATAATACTGGTAGTCAGGGTACTAGGGTGAGATAATACTGGTAGAGGATAATACTGGTAGATAATACTCAGGATAATCATTGGTAGGGTGAGATAATACTGGTAGTCAGGGATAATCATTGGTAGGGTGAGATAATACTGGTAGTCAGGGATCATTACTAGGGTGAGATAATACTGGTAGTCAGGGATAATCATTATCAGGTGAGATATATAAGAATGATAATCATTGGTTGGGTGGAATAGTACTTGCAAGGTGTAATTAGGATTATGAGATATTTGTTCTGATCTGACAGTATTATAACAATGGTTATTTGTGGTTGGTGACAATCATCAGTAGGGTTTAATGTAACAACCTAGTACTACTTATAATGAGTGTAAGTACGTACAGTGAAATAGTGCTTGTCTTCATTTAGTATCATTACTTGTGTTCAGTGACCATAAACACAAAGGTGAGATTGGTGAATATTATTACTGTGGCAAGTGAACAATATTGGGGATCAGCAAGGCTGAATATATATTCTATGGGTGAGTACTTGTTATTGCAAGGTGAGTGAGTGAGTGAGTAATGTTGTGGTGCTTGAGGGCATTATCTACTAGGGAGAGTTAATATTTTCACTCTTAGAGAAGCACTCTTTTCATCTGTTTTGAAAGTTGCAGTCTAGTAAAAATGTATACAGATTTGTACTTGGTCTCTATGGGAAGGAATATGAGCCCATTCAGATTAAGAAACGACCATTTTATTTATTCACCCAAGTAGTAGTAACATATAGCCCCTCACAGACTTAACTGGATCTGGTACAGGCAAGGAGGCCTGGTTTATCACAATAGAATCAATACCCAGTATGCTATTGCTTGAATCAAGAATCAAACAGATTAGACTAGATGATAAGACTTGGTTGATCATTTGTCATCATGCCTTGATGGCTTGGGCCGGTGCTCATAATATTGACCACTGGTTTGTCTTGCCAGACTTGACTTTGTACAGTTGGCCTTGATAGTTTGGTGGCATATAACACAAACTAGAAAACACATTAGCTGGTGAAATAGTACTTGTGGTGACCATTTCTATGAATGAATGGAAAGCAACATGACTGTGTTGAGGTGACTAAAGTCAAGATGCCACTTGACTTACATAACATGATTGCTCGATAAGATGGAAATAGTAACTTAGATGTACGTTTGACAACTTTTATGAAAACTCTTGATTTTTATTCATTAGTTTTTTCAATTTTAATGATTTCCTCGATACGTCCATACTTTGCTCTTTGACAATTTTTAAGTGGACCCGTTGCCAATCATTTGGAAAAACTTACGCCCAATCCCCACCCACCACCACCACCATCCATATTACCTGAATATACATACATGTATATATCTTTTTCCTCACCATTAAAATTTAGGGGGGTATATGGGCGGAAGTCTTATGTGCGGTGTTGAATGAGTTAAAATTGAACAAATAAATCTTTGGCGGTATACCGTTATGTCATAAATGTATCTTGATATGTAATTGTTACAATTTCATATTGCGGTTTACCGGTAATACCGTGCAGCCCTAATTAGGACACACTCTGTTGTTGTGAGTTAAAATGTGATAAGGACACACACTGTTGTTGTGAGTTAAAATGTGGTAAGGACACACACTGTTGTTGTGAGTGAAAATATGATTAAGACACACACTCTGAAAATGTGTTGACACTCGATGAGTTGAGAAAATGTGATAAGGACACACTCTGTTGTTGTGAGTGAAAATGTGATTAAGGACACACTCTGTTGTTGTGAGTGAAAATGTGATAAGGACACACAGTATTGGTGTGAGTGTAAAATGTGATAAGAACACACTGTTGTTGTGAGTGAAAATGTGATAAGGACACACAGTATTGAGTGTGAAAATATGATAAGGACACACTCTGTTGTTGTGAGTGAAAATGTGTGATTTGGACACACACTGTTGTTGTGAGTGAAAATGTGATAAGGACACACAGTATTATTGTGAGAGATAAATCATGATGAGAACACACACTGATCAAAACATGAGTCAAATACTTTTTATATGATGAAATCAAATTTTAAAACCCATCCTGTCCAATCATGAATGTCATGATTCCGCAATTTGTTTGTCGAATGACGAAACTGACTTTGAATGTGTCTGCGAAATGGCCTTATGATAAAATATGATACACACTCTTTTCTGCAGTTGTAGTCTCGAGGAAACTCTAAAATGCCGGAGATATTGTTTGGCATTAGATAAGTAGATAACCCATGACATGGTCATATCACAGGAGATTTAAGTTAGACGGAAACTTTGTTTTCACAATTTATTGTTTCATTTCTATCATTCATCTTAGATTGTGAAAAACATTTGCAGAGTGTTACATTATAATTTTGTATTTTTAAACCTATTGTCAAAAATATGCCCAAATACTTTTGAGTGTTTAGATATAAGAAAATCTCATATTTAAGATACCAAATTTTCTTTTAAAATATCAAAGTATGTATTTTACTTTAGAAATTGAATTTCTCAATGGATGCTTTTTGTATCTTCAACCTTCAAAGATTAATTTGTTCCATCATGCTTATTTCGTGTGATATGTACAATGTCATGTGACCCCACATCCATTCTGCATGTGAGTGTGCTGCAATTGTTTCTGATTAGCTCTCGTAGCCCTGTTTAGTTCATCCTGCAGTGGACATAGAAAGCCAGGCATGACATGGCAGACATCTTGGAAGAAATTTGCAACGCTTCTACAACTTCCTATTCTTGTTTTTTGTCCAAAAACCTGCAAATTCATCATCGGTTTACCTATACGTTTGTATGTTTTTTAATACAGTATTACTATTTGGTATGGTATCATTAATATCACAATTTTGAAATATTTGTTTGCATTTGGATGATGTTTGGTATCCTTCCTTAACTACTGACTTTGATCTGATTTTCTTTGATTGACAAAAATCATGTACAACAGCTTGACTTCTCTGTAACCTGTTAGTTTCTGATAGTTTGTTTTCTTAACACATTATTGTAAAAACATCCATCTCCTCCTTTTTCCCCAGAATGAATTTTGGTGATGAAATTCTACTTTTGGTTGAAATCTGATTATAAATATTTTTCATACTTTTAAAATATAAATCTATAACAAATCTATTTAATAACTTGACCATGGTTGTGTGATTAAATAGATCACGATTTGTTTATTTCATTGACCAATATGTCGTCTGAAAATGTTTGAGGTGAAATTGATTAAAAAACATATATTATGCACATATGTTCTTATAAAATAGAACAGTTACCATATATTAGAATAAAAATGTATGCTTTTTACAAGAATCATTTTTTTCAGCAGCTTGATGAATATTTTATGCAAAATAATGCTATAAAATATTATCTCTGAATGTTCTCGAAAGTAAACTTTATGAAGTTTTCATTAAAGTTAACAATAAAAATATTCACTTTTTTTTTATATGACAGATGTTAAATGTTTTAGCTTAGATTCATATCATCACTTCATCTACTTTAATATTCAGTATTTATATTTTTTTAATGATACTTACTACTCAAAGAAGAAGAGAGACCTCAGTTTATGAATATGACAGTGGTTGATCTGTCATATTATACTACTCAAAAGTTAAAGAACATCCGATTTTTCCACATAGCAAATGTTAATCTGATATTTCATGGCAGATTAACAGAAGTGGTATGAAAAAAAGCGGGTGTTGTCTAACTTTTTTTTAGTAGTATACTTTGTGGGGTACTTTTGTTTAACAGAGTGTAGAAGTGTTGCAATGCTCGATCCAGTTTGTCTTTCCCCATGTGCCGACGATCACTGCAGATAATAGCACACTGACAACTGATTTTTCACAAATTTTAAACATCATACATACTATTATCCTAGCTACCACACATATTTACTGTTCTTTAGCAAATCAATGCAACTTTCATACTATCTTCCTCAATACCTTTGGTACTTAAAACGTAACTGTACCATTGCACTAATGCAGAATGGCAGCATTTTGTGCTACTTTCCCTGTGACTAGTTTTGTAAATTGGACATTACAGTTTTCTATATATTTGGAAACAGCGGTAAGTATATACATGGCTGCCATTTCGGTCGTGATATGTTTACACCTCACTGTTTAAGCTTGGACTTAACTTTGTAAGATCTGGATGTGATGTTCTATTCATGTTTCTGTCTTACATTTTGCATCAGCTCAGAACTAGTTGTGAAGATAACTCAACTGAAAAAAGTCATGGCAGACATACAGTTCCACCTTCATGGTCAACTGGATCATTAAATATTCGATATCTTTTATCATATTATTTAATCATTAAGAAATCTAAGCTGAAGTGTTTGCAAAAAGAATTACTGTAAAAGAGTCAGTCATGGAAATAATAATTTAGACACTGGTTCTGCAATCTTTAGACCATTAATGTTCAAGTAATGATTTTAGAGCGTGACAGTTAGAACTTATCCAGTAGCAATATTTTTGTTGCAAGGTGATTTAATAGTGGTTTTGTTGAAGTAGTCATTGTCAATATGTTCATCATAAAGACAAACAAATCCAACACTGAGATCTTTGTAGCTGCTGCCATTTTTTAATAATTTGCATGGACATGCATGGTACTGCTTTCTGATGTTTAAGTTTTCAGTTCTTAAATATGCTGTAAAATGATTTTAAATTTTAGGAATGATTTTTTTTCTCAGTGATTGAATAGCATTGTTGACGAGCATGAACCCTTGAATTCTAATCATTTTAGGAATTTTTGTACAATATTTAAAAAAAATAAAGCATATTTGTTGGAAAGTAGTATATTGAGGTTTGTTAATTGTATTATTTTGGTTGAAATTGAACCATTGTTCTTGGAACTATTCATTGGCTCAACCAACTGACAATCACTGTGTTCTACATTTGTTCGCGCAATATAGTGCAATGGTATACTTGTGTTATGTAGAATAGACAACAACAAAAAACAAAAAAAAGCAGGAAATTTCAAACCAGGAGTAATACAGTATATATGAAAACCAGCACTCAGCATAAACACTGTTTTTTGGAATAGCTAGTGAATGAATGCCTCAGATGTATTCATGATATAGATGTGTTTTCATAGACAGTGGTAGGAAGATGTCTACAGTAGATTATTCATGCTAGGGCATTTACATTTTAAAAGATACTGGACATAGACATTTTCAATACATTTGTCCCCATAATGATATTAAGAATATTTACCTAAAAAGACCTTTTTATGGTGTAAAGGACTTTTAGACAGGAAAATGGGAATGACATGTTATCAGAGTTATCTCCCTTTGAAGAATTTGGCGGCCATGTTTCCAGACATATTTGATCAAAGATTAGCTAAAATACATTTTATTTTTCAAAAATAATATCCAAAGTTTGTTATTGTGAATGTAAAGTAATGTCCAGGATCTTTTAAAATGTGTGCTTGTTTTGTAGATGAAAAACTACTCAGCCAAATTTTCAACTTTTACTCACCAAAAATTCACTTTATGCACATTTGAAATGTTCCTTTTTTTACAGCATGGGCATAATATTAGTGTCATAGCTAGTTGTGGTTGATTATTATTCATAGCATTGACACTCATATGGATAAATGGAACATTTTCACTAACTTGTGAGATTCAGAACATAAAAATATTTTCAGAATTTTCATAACCTGTAAAAATTAGCATCTTGTCCTTGATGATGATAAAGAGTATACATGTGACTTTTATTTAAGGCTCTTAAAAGCTGGAAAGGCGAAAGGATTGAAACTTTGTCATCACATTTATTTGTGAAAATATTCCATAATATTTATTTCATTTCTGTTTTTATTTCAGCACTGCTACAACAGACACTCATAGAATAGACGTTCAAATTGCATAGAATGTTACTTAATAGAAATTTTATCATTTAATCAAATAAAAAAAATTGAAGAAAAAAAGTATCTGTCAGTAAATAAAAAATATTCCTTTTCTGTTGTAAGCAAATTTTGAACATACGTTTTGCATTTTGACATTGAAAAGAATTGACATGAAGTAGCCCCATGTTGGGTTATAATTTGTTTATTTCAAATTTAAACATAATTTAATTATTTTCAAGTATATGAAACCTGCATGTCTTGGTAAGATATTTGTTATCTAGTTAGCTTCAGCATACTCAAGTCGTAGTCATTACTAACAGTATGCATGGTGCAATGGTTCAAAACTAACTCTGGTACATCATCATGGAATAATCAGCCATTAGTTCTTAGCAGGTATTGTGGACGGGATGAAAAACTTAGCAGTGTGAGTATGTTGGGGCCTATGATGCTAACAGTCTGTGTTTGTTTCTCCACGAATCGAATGTCACAGGACGTACATCGTGCGCTGGATCCGAGACACGAACATGATCCTGGTGGTGGCAGCAGCCAACTGCAATTGTGGAGAAGGAGATGAGACCTCCATCACACCAGTGAAGATTCATTATATCCTTTGTTGTGTAGTCTTGTGGGAATAACTGGTCCCTGTACATCCCTAGGTCCCTATACCTTCCCACAGCTGTTGAAGAGCAGACTAAGAGTGTAGGGTGGTCCAAATAGGTCCCTTTCTTTGTGCTTGTTGAAGAGCAGACTAAAGAGTGCTGGGTGGTCCAAATAGGTCCCTTACTTTGTGCTTGTTGAAGAGCAGACAAAAGAGTGCTGGGTGGTCCAAATAGGCCCCTTACTTTGTGCTTGTTGAAGAGCATACTAAAGAGTGTAGGGTGGTCCAAATAGGCCCCTTACTTTGTGGTTGTTGAAGAGCAGACTAAAGAGTGCTGGGTGGTCCAAATAGGTCCCTTACTTTGTGCTTGTTGAAGAGCATACTAAAGAGTGTTGGGTGGTCCAAATAGGCCCCTTACTTTGTGCTTGTTGAAGAGCATACTAAAGAGTGCTGGGTGGTCCAAATAGGCCCCTTACTTTTGCTTGTTGAAGAGCATACTAAAAAGTGTTGGGTGGTCCAAATAGGCCCCTTACTTTGTGCTTGTTGAAGAGCAGACTAAAGAGTGCTGGGTGGTCCAAATAGGCCCCTTACTTTGTGCTTGTTGAAGAGCATACTAAAGAGGGTAGGGTGGTCAAAATAGGCCCTTTACTTTTTGCTTGTTGAAGAGCAGACAAAGGAGTAAGGTGGTCCAAATATCCCAATAGTTGATGTTTATTGACAAGCAGACTAAAGTTGACTGCATGGTCTGAATACTCCTAGTACATCACCTAGTTGAAGAGCAGACTAAGAGACGACTGTTGGGTCATCAGAGTATGTGACTGAAGTTGTCCTGCTGAAGATGTGGGTTTAATTTTGTGATAATGGTACCATAGGTCAAGCCAGTGTATTATGTCATTAGCTGCAAGAATCCTTAAAGCATACTCACTGATGCAGCACATACCAGTATAATAATAAATACAGACAAATCATCTCATTGTAAGTATACAGGCTCAGCTACTGTTTCCCTTAACACTGATCACATACAGAAGAGGAAAAGTGCAAGCGTGTATCCAAGCTGTCACATCCGCCCAGAAAGACAAGATGTTATGACTCAACAATAGAGGTAAGTTAATTCTACACGCAGAACTGATTTCTTGTGTTAATAAATAAGACTGACTTTGAAGTGAAGAATGGGATCGGGTGGTCAGGCTTGCTGACTTGGTTGACACATGTCATCGGTTCCCAATTGTGCAGATCGATGGTCATGTTGTTGATCACTGAATTGTCTGGTCCAGACTCGATTATTTACAGACCACCGCCATATAGCTGGAATATTGCTGAGAGTGCGGCGTAAAACTAAACTCCCTCCGTTGAAGTGAACAGGGCAAAACACCTGATGAACAACACATATGAATTTGTGAACAGCAATTCAAGTTTGGTTTTAGAACTATTTCATAACTCACATCTGAAAAAAACCCCACTGAATTTCTTTGTTTGGCAAAGCTTGAAAATCTTGCCTTGCTGTAGTTTATTTCCCGACTGAGTTAAAATTATACATGTCATGTCAGTAACATCTCATTTTATTCAGGAGTATCCATAGTGCTGCCTTGTTTCTTCACATGATGAAGTTATTAAGATAAAGTTTCTTGTCATACCTATCTTACCCATCAAATATTCTTGTTCTTGAATCAACATCCCATCAGAATGATCCTTTTGAACAAGAGTTTGGAAAGGACTTACAGATATGGTTATCTAAAGGAGCTTGATAAGTCACAATATCTTTCCAGTAAAGGAGCTTCTTGAGCATGCTCTTGAAGAAAGGTTTGGCGAAGACCTCCATGAAACGTTGTCCTTGTTATGTTTACCTAAAAGAGCTTGATTGGTCTCAATATCTTTCAGTAGAGAAGCTTGGTGGGAAAGCTCCTGCAGAAATGTTTGGCAAGGACCTCCATTAAAGGTTATTAATAACCTTGATATGTTTACCTAAAGGAGCCTGATAGACCTCAATATCTTCAAGTAAAGGAGCTTGATGAGAAAGCTCTTAAAGAAATGTTTGACAAGTTTAACCTTGATATGCTTACCTAAAGGCTAAAGGAGCCTGATACACGTCAATATCTTTCAGGAAAGCTTGCTATCTTTCAGAAACACATCACTTGTCAGACTACTGTCTGTTAGACATGAACCTTTCATAAGATGGGCAGCCTACTGTTAACATAGTGTGTCTTTCAAATGTGACTAAGGCAGCAGACAGGTTCACAGAATACATTGCTAGTCTATGATGATAAGTACCTCTCATCATCTCAAGAGATATTGATTCTATTTGCAGGAGGGTAACACCTGTGGAGCACGGAGGTATCGGGTATCATCACTACTTCTGGCACTGCTGCTTTTAAAAAGTTTTCTGTCTTAGCAAAGGAAAAAAAGAGCAAGAAGTTAGCCAGGCGCCATCTTGGATACACGAATACTTGATAATGGCTCAAACAAGAGAGAGATCCCACAAGAGTATGGCCATGGAGTACGAGCCGCTTCCATCCCTTTTGAGTCCTTGTCAACACATTCCAAACGTGATGGAGTTTCATCACAACAGATCCGTGTCTGGGCATCCATGGACAATGTTGCTTGAACATTTTCAGGATTGCTGAGGATCAACAAGTGTTTTTGAAGTGATATTGTAGCCAGTTCCTCAAGTGTCAAGATGTGTCAACTTCTGAGATGATTTGATGTAGCCATCTGTTGCTTATGCTTGGTTCATCAAAAGAATCAAAGTGTGATGCTTGCATTTCATAATTGAAAATTTTGAAACAAATATTTTTTAACTATGCCTGTCAAGATGACTGTCTTATCAAATCAAGCAGCATAAATCTCCAAAGATCATCTGTTTTAGTTCCTAGATACAGACTGCGTGTTTGCTTAACTACATCCACAACATTCATGAAGTGTGTGGGGGTTATCTCCTATGTGGATGCATCACAATGTCAGGGCCATTCCTGATGCCAAGGTCTTGTCCCAAAAGTGGATATTACACATTGCTGTATTTGTGTGCAAGGAAAAGCAACATTTTGGCAGGATGTGTTCAACACTGCTGACCAGGAGCTTATAAAAGTCAGATTTTGTCAAACAATTGGCCTTCCATAATGTACATACTGTAAAGTCGTTGTTTTTATTCACTGAGCCTTAATGAGGTGACGATTTCTGTGAGGACGTTAATAGTAGGGATCATGCACCTGTAGAATGTTCGAATGAAATGTTATCCCTTCTTAGTGAGGAAGATGTTTGGGACAGTCACTGACGGTATAGGTGTATGGTTGAAGGAGCCTGTTGCTAGGTTACCGAGGAAGTGGATGCATTGATTCTTTGCCTGATTCATCGATAAAGGCCTTGACTAATTTGTAGATAAATGACAGAGGGCTTGGATGCATTGACCCATTGTTTTATTCATCAGTGAAGGTTTCGGATGGATCAGCCTGTTGCTACATTCATGAAAGAAGGCCTGGATAATATCAGCTTGTTGCTAGACTCATCAATGAAAGCTTGGATGGATCAACCTTTTGCTGGATTCATAGGAAATATCTTGAATGCATTGACCTGCTGCTAGATTCATTGACAAAAGCTTGGGTGGATCAACTTGTTTCTAGATCCATCAAAAGAAAACATTGATGTATCGACATGTGGCTAGATTCAACGATCATGGTTTGGAAGGATCCACCTGTTGCTTTATTCATCAATGTAAGCTAGGATGATTTGACCTGTTGCTAGATTCATCAAGGGAATCGTGTCATTGGATTAGTCTTTGCCAGGTCCATCAGGGAAGGCTTGGATGGACCCAACGGTTACTAGATTCATTGGGATTCAAGTCTCAGATGCACTGACCCATTGCTTGACTTAAAGGGAAAGTCCGGGATTGAGAAGGTCTTCAGGGAAGGCTTTGTTGTATCAGACTGCTGGTAGATTCATCAGGAAAGGCCTTGATGGATCAATCTGTTGCTAGAGTCATCAAAGAAGGCCTGAATGTATTGCTATCATTGCTAACTTCACTAATGAAGGCTTGGATAGATGAACCTGCTACTGAATTCATCAGAGAAAGTGTGGATGGACTGACTTGTGGCTACATTCGTGGTGAAGGCTTTGATGGGTCCACCTGTTGCTCTATTAATTGATAAAGGCTTGGATGGATTAACCTGTTGTTAGATTCATCACAGAAGACATGAATGCACTGATCTGTTGCCAGATTCATCAAGGATGGTTTGGATGGATCAGTCTGTTGTTAAGCTGATCAGGGTATACTTATGTTGATCAATCAGTTCGTAGATACATTGGCGAAAGCTTTGATGGATGAACCTGTTGCTGGACACATCAAGGATTGCTTGGATTCACCAAGTGGAAGGCAGACTGAAATCAGAGGACATAGATGAAACATATGTCATAAAGCCTAACTGATATTTTCACCAAATGGAAAATGGAGTAGAAAGAAAGAAAATTTGAAGAGATAAACTAGTGCTTTGAAAACATGGAGTATCTAGTGAGAAGAAAGAAATTTCACAGGGAAAAGCATATGTTTTGAACAAGTGGAGAATGGAAAGGGCACCATGACAATAATGTCGGCCATGTTGATGAAAGACTTGCATATTACTGTCTTGTATTCTGATTGAAAACCATTGAACATCTAGAGGCAGAAACTGAAGAAATGTAGTTTGAAAAGTGTAAAAAAAAGTTTGAAAAGATAAATTGGCCTCCGAGCATGTTTAGTGTCAGGGTCCCATATGGTGCAAAAGCAAATTAGTTCTGTTATGATTGTCCAGCTGTTCAAAGACGTGAGTAGATATACTGAATGATAATTTATAATCAATGTGACAGCTCTGCCAACCCCAGACTGATGTCAGCATGTGGAGGACATAGTAACAAGTAATGGACAAACATGAAGTATTGTGAAAGATTGCTGGAGGTGAGATGAACCATCAAGCCTTATTCTAGTTCTAGGTCTGCTAATATATGATGGCACACAGATGTTTGTATTGATTCCTGGCAGGTTGCTGATGTGGATCAGTGACTCTGAATCAAGACTATGTGAGTTATGAGGTCTGAGGTCTGTCATGTGGAGGTGCAAGCAGCTTGTGATGAGTCCTCGCAGATTGCTGGAATGTAAGATGGATCCAGTCTGATGTGAGATACGGGGTCTGAGGTCTGTCATGTAGAGGTGCAAGCAGCTTGTGATGAGTCCTCGCAGATTACTGAAACGTAAGATGGATCCAGTCCAATGTGAGTTACGAGGTCTGAGGTCTGTCATGTAGAGGTGCAAGAGGTGCAAGCAGTTTGTGATGAGTCCTGTGAGTTAGACTGCTGAAACGTAAGATGGATCCAGTCCAGATGTGAGTTGATGAGGGGTCTCAGCTCTGTCATGTAGAGGTGCAAGCAGCTTGTGATGAGTCCTCGCAGATTGCTGGAATGTAAGATGGATCCAGTCTGATGTGAGATAATGGGTCTGAGGTCTGTCATGTAGGGTCTGATGAGTCTGTCATGTAGATGGATGCAAGCAGTCTTTGTGATGAGTCCTTTGTGATGAGACTGCTGAAACGTAAGATGGATCCAGTCCAATGTGAGTTATGGGGTCTCAGCTCTGTCATGTAGAGGTGCAAGCAGCTTGTGATGAGTCCTCGCAGATTGCTGGAATGTAAGATGGATCCAGTCTGATGTGAGATACGGGGTCTGAGGTCTGTCATGTGGAGGTGCAAGCAGCTTGTGATGAGTCCTCGCAGATTGCTGAAACGTAAGATGGATCCAGTCCAATGTGAGTTATGGGGTCTCAGCTCTGTCATGTAGAGGTGCAAGCAGCTTGTGATGAGTCCTCGCAGATTGCTGGAATGTAAGATGGATCCAGTCTGATGTGAGATACGGGGTCTGAGCTCTGTCATATGGCGATGGGAGATGTGTCCTGGCAGGAAGACACTGATGATGAATCAGGTCCTGCACACAAGATGAAGATGGGCCTTGCAGACACTCTGAAGTGCACTTAGCATTACAAACACCAAAAACAGACTCTGCAAAACATATTTTGAACTGAACAAACAAAACATTTTTCAAGGTGAATTGTTTGGTGAATGATTCAGGATTCAGGATTCAGGATTTATCCTTGGAATCCTGGAAAGAGATGATAGAACCAGACACACTGCATGTACAATGATGTGAATGAAAACTGTGGAGGTGTGTCTGATGTGCCACCAACATAGAGGGCCATTTATACAATTAGAATTCTGCAAGGACATTGGGTTGAAATGTGTTTTGCTATGGCTGTTTCAGCTCTACATCCACATATAGGATGGTTGTTTGCATGGTAACATCATGAGCAGGTTGAAATCTCTCAATATCTACAGACAAGCTTCAAAGATATTTTGTTTTGTTCCTCACTCGGCTCATACATCCATTGCTTTATCTTGATCCGTGATATTAGGGTTACTTGGGGAACAGTATTTGATCCTTGACATTAGGGTATCAGTATTTGATCCTTGACATTGGGGTAACATTGGAGAAACAATATTTGATCTTTGATATTAGGGTTACTTTGGGAACAGTATTTGATCCTTGACATTGGGTTACTTGGGATGACAGTATTTGATCCTTGACATCAGGGTATCAGTATTTGATCCTTGACATTGGGGTAACATTGGAGAAACAATATTTGATCCTTGAGATTAGGGTTACATGGGGTGACAGTATTTGATCCTTGTAATCAGGTTGACACTGTGAGGGCAAAGTTTCTACAGTTGTCATGGCAAGTTGTTTTAAGAATACTTAATAGTTACTCTGCCAACACAGTGTGAAGTGAACCTTTTCAATTCAGAATTTGTGATGAACGATTCATTGCCTTGGTAGGGAATCTACAGGAACTCTATCCTAAAATCAGTGATGGTTGTATGAGCTATGGTGGGGTGTTGTAGTCTACGATCAGGAAGAGACAAGCCTCACTGTGATTATAATTATTTTGTTTGAAAATTGTTTATTTTGTCATCAGACAGTGAAACATTGCATTTAACATTACTTCCAGTGATGTTCACATCGTATATATATACATCATGCAGAACCCATATCTGTTTGTAAATATCAACAAGATATTATGTTTTAGCAACATTTCTAGTCACAATCTGATATTGTAGTTGTAGTATATTAACTTGGTTTAAGCTTGTAAGCATTGTGGAGACTGTTACATGAAGTTTTAAAAATGTCTTCTTTTCATCCTGGTTGTGTGCGAGTGTTAGTATCTAAACGGTAGTGGTTTCATTTTGCAGTTTTTATATGACCGTTGACTATAGTGTAGTAGACTTATTGTCATTTGCTTACATGGATGCCTGCAAAAGATGCTATTGTTACATTCTTACATTGTTACATTCTGTCAGGGTTGTACATTGCGTGGGTTGTTTTTAAGCCTTCAAATTATATCTTATTGATGTGTAACTTTATCCTTAGAACTATGTGGATAGGCATGTACAGAATCATATGATAAAAAATTATACTACTCAACAGAAGTTAAGAACACCTGATATTTTCACATGACTCTGTTATGGCAGATTAACTCTAGTCACACCAATAATCAGGTGGTCCTTAACTCACTTTGAGTAGTATAGTTATTGAAACCTTTCAGTTTATGGTTTATTAAGGTACAGTTCATACTGTGACCAATGTAAACTGACATCTTGAACTAGTGGCATGTTATTTATTCAAGGGTTCCGGTCTTGGAAATGCTTTGGTGCTTTTCTTCATGCCACAGACAAGTTCATTCAATATGTTCATTCTACTTAATGGACATTGAATTACGTGCTAATGTTGATTCAAATATATATATTCTAAATCTTGCATATAAGGTCAATAACAAAATTGTGTGGAATAAGGTGATATTATATTTGAATTTAAGCGCCATTTTATTTCGTACTATGGGTGGTCTGATTGGGCTCAAATAGTATGTTATTAATATAAGGCCAGACCAATTTTATTTCTTGTTTTATGGATCCGTCGGTTGTATTTTTTCAAGATTAAGAAAAAAAAAAAATCCCTGCTCAAAAAATAAATCCTAATGTTTTTATTGGCCAAAAGTGTAACCTTATAAACAAAAATTTTTTAGATTGGTTTTTGCTGTATATACACTTCATAAATTGCCAAAAAGTAAAATACTTTTAGTACTTAAAAGGAATATTACTTTGACTGGTGATTTTTTTCCCTTTTGCCTTTAGGTATTCTGAGGACAAAAATCCTTAAAGCAAGAAATAAAATTGGTCTGGCCTAAAGTCAGTTTCTATTTATTGTAATTTACAAATAAAGGTGAGTTTGTATGGGGAACAGTGAATTATAATACAAACATCATCATGATCAGGTTTATAGGAGTATTAGACGTGATGGGATTATCCATTATATTTTAGTGCCTTTCACTTTTCTACTTTTGTATGGTAATGGCCGACCAAGCACGAGCAGACATGCTCTATATTCTTCCACTCACCTGATTTCCTCACTCACTCTTTTCGGCAGTCTTGTTGTTTCAGAACGTAGTAGTCCTTTGAAGTTAGCAATGCTTGGCATTAACAATATAGAAAGGCCAAACATTTCATGTCAAATTCAGACAACAAGAGCATGTTTATTTTTTTAATTCTTTCGTTCGTAATTTTTGTCAAAGATGCATTGTGAGTGTTCAATAAACAGAAGTTATATCACTTCAACATTTTGTAAAATTTGCAAGGTCCATTTTGTACATTTAAGAGAGGCCATTAAGATATTTCGACAAATTTTGAACATTTTAGAAATGGAACAGACAGTGCATCTTTGAAACGATTAATATTGTTTTCATATGAAAGAAATTTAAGTTTAACTGGCACAGAAACCTCAGGTAATTTCACAAGTAGTATTGTACTCCTTCACCATGAGAGAACCGGCATTTAGTTAAACCTATAATGTTCACCACACAACTATTCTTACACTACCGCCATAGCTGAATGATCGTAGTTACCTCCCCTTAGAACAGGTCACAAATTCGTAAAATCATATATGCAATATTATTTCAAATCTTCCAGCATTCAAGGTTTGGATCCTGATCACAAACATGCTTGATAACTCTGTAGGAATATGTAGATCTGTTGGTGGCAATGTTATTATGTTCTTAACGTCAGATAATGGACAGAAAGGTATTTAGTCTGTCGGGATGACAAGACTCTTTTTGGTTGTAGAATCTGTTAGAAGTGAGTTGGGTTTAATGCCGTTTTGAACAGCATTTCAGTTATATTATGGCAAGTTGGCTTGTCATGGGAGGAAAGCCCATTGTGATGCTGAACTCCGACGTCTACCATTTTGTGGAAACCCATGGTGCTGACAAGAATAGTCTTGGGAGAACAGGAATTCTGACCCACAATCAAAGATTCCTGATATGCCCAAGTGACTGAGCTTTGCACTGTGAAATGTGGCACCTAAGTCAACTGGGCAATGCAAGTGAGTGTTAAAAGACTGCAAAAAACCCCTGGAATTTTGTTTTTCCAAAAGAACACTACATAATTGTGTTTAGAAAGGTATTCTTTTAACTAATCAAAGTAACAGAAATTTGTAAGCTGAAATTAAGATATAGAACAATTAAAACTAAAACGATGACCATTATAAGAATTTTGGAAAATATGCTTTCTCGTCACATTTATTTGAAGTAAAAATAACAGTTTTTAAAATCAACACCAGAGACTTACCAATGTCAGAGAACAGATTCTTTTGGGCTTACTTGGAAATATAGCAGTAAAAATTATGAGTGAATAACCAGAATTATCTAGTGATGAGACCAGGTATTCGCAAAAGAGTAAACCTGATTGGATAACGGTAATCAAGTTACCGAATACCCAAAACTGGGTGCAAATTTGTTTCTTTGTCATCTTAAATGAGGTTGATGTGAAAATCTGGTTCGATTCCTAACTGATAACCCTTCTGAAGAGGGGGTGGGTTAGCCTGATAGTTAAAGCATTCGCCCCTTATGCGGAAGACCAAGGTACGTGTCAAGGCGACTGCCTCCGTGGTGTAGTGGTTAGAGCGTCCGCCCGGAGTGCGGAATGTCGCGGGTTCGATCCCCAACCGCGTCATACCAAAAGATGTTAAAATATGGTACTTGTTGGTCCCTGCCTGGCGCTCGGCATTAATGGGTCCAAGGACTGGTCGGCTCGGAGTCAGTATAATGTGTCGGAGTGGGGTATTCATG